GCACATCTGTAATACTTTCAACTTTCACACATAATTTACATGCATTTCCCAATGTATAGGTTTGGATATGTTTGGAATATTTAACCTTTGCTATTTAGACCTTTTAGGAACATACTCACATTACTGTTTAAAAACAGTGATCATAATCTGCAGCTCTAGAATGGAAGCATGGGTGTTAAGAAAAGAGCAACAACTCAGTTTCCACTGCAGGGCTGTTAGCACTGTGCTTTTGTTCATGCTGCCTGAAGAGTTTACTTAATCATTCCTGATTCAGCTACTTCACTCAGATATACCAGGAAAAGCAGGTACATGCTAAACAGTTGCTGCTTTTGAGATATTTTGTCCTAAGAGAGGATTTCAATGGCAGACCCTTAGCCGTCAAGTTCTGGAAATGTGGGGGAAGCTAGACTGTCATATGCAATCTCTTGTCCTCTAATGGAGATGACTTGCCTCACCCTCACTCTCTATAAAGTACTTTTCCATTCATTTTGCCCTCTTACTACCTCTTTCATTCATACCACACATTTAAATACTACTTTCAAATGTACATAGTAGTATATGAGCATAGGGCTTTATGGAAAATTGCTCCTACCTAATGTATTTGTGGTGAATACGGCAGACTGTAATTCAAGGATCATTCTAACCTTCATCCACTGTAACTTCTGGACCTGGGCAGCTACAAACACTATTTCTCAAACTCTCTTTTAGCCAGGGTTCTGAATATAATTTAAGTTCCACTCATCAGAGGCATTTACACGACATCTATAAGCAGAAGGTGAAGCAAGGAGGCTCCTCTGCTATTTTTGCAGGTGCATGATTGTGGAGCTGTTTGTTTTTACAAGAAAGTGTTAGCAAAGAATCCAACATACAACTGCTAGCTTCCTAAGAATCAAGAAGCATCCATTTTGTTGAAACAGATCACAGCAGGTTTGGGGTGGTTCCCACAGCAAGAGAAGTAGAGCCTTCCTGGGTATTACAGCTCCTTCTTCAGTGCAGTCTGAGCTCAGGTGCCCTGTTGGCAGTTTCCAAAATTGACAAATAGCTTCTTGATCACAGAAGAGGCAGCAGCTCATAGTGGCCTATTTTGTAGCACAATCATACCAACAATACTATAAGCTATTTAATTAAAGGTACCCAGTAGTAAGTACTTTTCTGTTTAAATAGAGTAATTATGAACTTTCTAATATAAACAATGTATTTTAGGTTATATTCATGTTTCAAAACATTCATCCCTTGAACATGTCAAGAGGTGTTTTCTAAATATTTTAATATAAAATGCAGTCTAACTTTTTCAGAAACAGGTACAACCTGTCATTCAACATTTTCACATTTCATCTATACTCAAATGCAGGTTTATCAATCAATGCATATAAAAATTCAGGGATCAAATAAAGTGAATTTATAGGTTGAGTCCAGCAGACATAACTCAGACACTGTAAGACTATCATGAATGCATTGCTTTTATTCAACTGATAAGAATGTTATAGTTACAACTTTATCATTTTGGAATGCTAAAAATGTGAACCGATCCCTTCACTCAAAGGAAATCTAGGCTGAAATTAGATTAAATTGGGGTAAATTCTCATCAGAGACATATCAGTGCCTTAATACTGAGCTTAAAACACAGGCTTCCAATAGTTCAGTCAACAGAATCTGTAACATGCATTCTATTAAATCTTAAAAATAAAAATACAAATAGGATTCTTTTTATTAAAATAGCTAAATAACAAGGTTTAGTATCATGATGATTATATTTACAAAAATGTTATTAGAATGAAATTTACAGAAATAGAAACACACAGGTACAACATGGCACCTTCCCCCTTGTTAGCAATCCCTACCTACGCTAACTGACGTTGGGTTGATTTGAGTAGAGTGTTTAAAATCAAACATCATAGAATTTCAGAGCTGGAAGGAACAGTGGAACTCTCTGACCTACTTAGTCATTTTTACTCATATTGCTAACAAATAATCAGAGGTTCAAAGATGTTAAGTGGTGGGCTAAGGTACTAGAACTAGGACTAGAACACAGGCTTCCAGACGACTAGTTCTAATCTTTTATTACTATTACACACACACACACACTATTATACATACACATACATATACATATACATTTCCATACACACTGATTGTAGTTAGTACAACAAGACTGCCTCGGTTCAAGTCATAGCTCTGGTACTTGGTAGCTTTTTGACTCTGAGCAAGTTATGTAAATTATCTGTGCTTCTATTTCCTGAGCTGCTACACAAGTAGCTTCTCCGGGGGACATGTGAATATTGAGAAACCAGGACAGAGCCTGGCTCAATAGCATTAACTTTTTTGTTTTCATTAGTTAACAATTGATCCTTTAACTCAACTTCAATTTCTTATCCAAAAGCAAAACCCATGACTTAGTATCTAGTTAATTTTTCTTGGAATACTTGCAATGGCACACTACATCTGCCAGGATTTACCCTTGTAGTAGGAGATTCCATTGCTTGAGAACTAATAACACCAAATGTATTAAGTTCCCTATCTAGTGCTTACTAGCAATCTGGACATTAAAATTATTCCTCTAGCCCTTCCTTTCATAAGCAGGAAGAAACCTGAAGAGAATGAACACATTTACTAGTATGAAGCAATGAGATTTTTTTCTAATCAGTAGGAACTGTCCCTTCCCCTTATGATCAATAATCCTTGTGAAGACTGTGTACTGTGTGAATAAGTTTACACTGTCTTGTTTCCATGGCAATCACCATGCACAGAAAGCTGCTATAGACAATACAGAGATTAGGGTATTAATTTTAAGGAGTGGCATATTTTACACACACATCCCTTACCAATCAGAAATTTTCATTATAGCATCTCTAGATCATTCAATCAAAAATAAAAACTTAAAGCTGCATGTGAACAGAAACAATATATTATATTTATATAATAAATAGAAAAAACACTACAATAGTTCTCAGGAAAGCTGCTTACTCACCCTTCTTCTGGCACAAAGTAACAGTATGACCTAGGGCAGGTCATTTAACTTTCTGGGACTCTGTACCAAAAGTCTTAGGAACAAACAGCCTCTTTGCTTTAAGTATCTATACTTTTATGAAATGTATTCAAAAGGAGAAATTATCATTTCACTCTTTTCCTTTAAAAAATCATCTTGAAAAAATAAGGGGCACCAATCTGGCATATCAAGGATGGCTGAGTATTAAAATAAAGACAGGTGACTATCTAGAGTACACAATGCAAAATATCACTACCTGGTAAAAGCAAAATCTTTGCACCACTATCTGATAGAGAAAACAAACAAATTTGCTACTTCTCCAAATTAACTTCTTTAAAAATCACATTGCTTTTTGTAGTTATGCCAGACACACACTTACACACACACCTCCTATTGTCATTCCATGTCTGAATGCCAAAATCTACTACTATTATCACCCACAAAACAGAATGCTGCAGTGATACCTTCACAGAGGCTTACTTCTCTAATTTCCCAGCTATTAACAAGCATTCTGTCTTCAGGACTTAAATAATGTTTTATGTCTACTCATATGTCCCTTATTTCTTTCTATGCTATACTATACCTCTTTCTTCCCAAGTAACACCTTCCATACTAGAGGGTAAGTCTCACTAATTCAGCTTTGGATTCCCCACAAAACAGTATAGTGCCCTATACAAAAATATATGTTTAATAACTAGTGAAAAAGAAGAAATTTTAAATCTCTATGTTCTTAAAATACAAAACAAGCCCATAGTTTATATTTTTACTATTTTTTTCTTTTGCCTCTTTTCCAGTTCCTACAGGCCAAAGAAACTCACAGCTGCCACTTCAGGGTTTAAGAAATTCATTTCTGGAGTTGTTAATCTATGTACAAAATAAAACCACAAAATAAAGTAACAATAATTATCTCTAGGAATATAATTAAATCAGAAGAAATCATTTGTCAAGAAAATTAAATGTTAGGCAGTTTGAAAATCAGAAAAAGTAATTCACACTACCAATAGTTTTCCAATGGCTGTCTACAGTCAAACCACCTTCTATCAGAAGTGTCATCTAATTCTGGAACCATGATAATGTGATCAAGAAAGAGATTTCACTTAATCTCTAGTAATGCAAATTAATGACTGTGTTTCTGTTTTCTCATCTATAAAATTAAGATACCTGCATATCTTACCACTTTTTCTCACAGGGTGTTTAAAGATATTTATGTGGTGAGTTGTTTAGACAGCTGAACAAAGTTCCTGAGGCAACATTTCTACTATTTAATTTCTAACTAAATTTGTGCTTCAGAAGCAGAATTTTAAACTCCACTCACAAATACCTGGATGGGCTGCATAATCACTTATACTATTTAGAAAAATCTTGTGTAAGAAAGGAGAATCATGTGCTGCTGAAATTATATTTGTTATATATACATACAAATGTTATCTCTTTAAATAAACTTCACAAGTTCCTGGTTTAAGACATTTATCATCTTACAGATAAAAATTATCTACAAAGATATTAATTTTGTCTAAATTAGTTAAGGTGGACAATTTACTAAATTCCCAAAGGAATTGCAATTATAAATTTTAAAACGATATCCCAGTAGTTACCAAGATCACTGAGATGGAAAGGGGGGCAGGGGAGGACCTGCCTTATTTTCACTGTGGTTAATGTCTACAAATTTTCATTAAGTGGTACTTTTTAAAAAGTTTTACACCTTTACCTAGCAAGGGTAATATAAAATTTCACAAAGAATAAACTTCTTAATTTGAGGACTCCCAGAAGAGACTGTCAGTATAAGTGGTCTGACTTGGTTTTCAAAATAATAGGTGAAATCTGATCCCTCTTGTGACCAGTTCAAGTTTGTCTAGGAGCCCACTTCCACTTATTTGTTGATACTGGATACTACTGGATTATGCCAAATTAAAACAAGGATAATTTTTATAAATTATACACTCAATTGGGGTACATAGGTTTTGAAGATGACAAAGACAGAAGAAACGTTCATAGATCTCAATAATACTTAATAAATCCCTTGCAACTTAAATCATTTTTATAAAAAAACAAAACTCATACCAGCTAAACCCAAGTTCCTTAAGCAACACTATTATTAAATTTCTAACCTAACTGGTGATTTAAAACAAATTTTTAACTCCACTCAGAATCTTAAAATATCAGTACCCAAAAAGTTAACATTTTCAACATATTTCACTAAAAATATTAATAACTGACTAATTTAATACGTCCTTTTCTAAGCAAAATAAAAAACTCAGAAAATATTTATATGAAGCATTCAAGTATTTAACAAATAAATGCTTACCTAAATTATTTTTTTAATTCTATATACAAAGTGAGAACTTTAATCTCTACTTTGAAGTCCATTTTTAATAAATATACATATTTGCAAAGGATTCAATCCCACTTTTGATTTAGTCAACTACTATCAATTTACAGTACTTAGCTTTGCTCTACAGAATTCCAAATCAGGAATAAAATCATACAAACAAAAGGACTACAGAAAAAGCTCTTTAACTACCAGGGTCGTGACTTATTCATGTTTACCTGCAGTTGTCAGTGTAATACTGGCACATTAATCACTCAAAAAAAGTAGCTGATTAACCATTTATTTATTGGCAAAGAAAAAAAAAAAAACTTCCTTGGAACTCTAAATACTTCTGGTAAGAAACAGAATAGAAGAAAAGGAAAAATATACTGCCAAATATTGTTTTTACAAATAATCGCTGAGATTAAAATTTCATTCAAAGAATTTATTACTTTCCAGGGCACCAAAAGATACAATTTTGTTCTACTTGTCCCTTGTCGCAATGAAAGTTAACTTTTCTTAATTATCCTAAGAAAAACCAGTCTAGGGATTATCCAACCGCAATGTAATAAACTTGCTTCCAGACTGAGTTCAGAGCTGAACATCAGCTTGAAATATGAAAACAGCAGTAGATGGGATACACACAGCTTTTGTCAAGAGTAAGGAATGCAGTCCTTAACTGGAACTTAATATGACTCTCTGAGTTTCCAATAACTCATCTAAAGCCAAAGCTACAATTGTAATACAGCAAACCTCTGAAGAAAAGTGTAATGGGACTAAAAAAACTATGAAGGTGATTCACAGATATACTTACAGATCCTTGGAGAAATAAAATTGGAAGGCAAACTCCAAACATTTCTCCTAAGATGCTAATGGCAGATAATAGCTGGAACGCTTGTGGACCAAAGTCCTGTGATATATCATCTGAGTCATCAATGGAAAAGCAATGATACAATCTAAATAAAAATAATAATCTGTTAGAAAGCTTAGCTAAAGCATGTACCTTTAGAAATAAAAATATAGTGTAATAATTAGCTAAGTGTGGAGAAGGCCTGGGGCAGGGGCAGATGAGGGGTGGAGAGGTTCAATGGGGGCAGAGGGGAGGAACATCTGTAATACTTTCAACAACGATAAATTTTTAAAAAATATCTCAAATGTGCCAACTTCTTCAGAAACTACAAATAAAGTTCATTACAGCCAAGAGCATGTGAAGTATGTAAAACATGAAACACAAGCTATAATATAGCATCACAGGTATGTTATGCTGATGGTTCTCAACCCTAGTGCCTTAGAACCCAAGTTTCACAGGAGGTACCTCAGACCAAAGACAGAAGGAAAGGAAGAAGCTCATGCAACCAGAAAGCAAAATTACAGCTCGAAGAGCTCACATTACTGATTATATAAATACTGGACTTCTGTGTTAGGTTTTGTTGGAAGGAGAAGTTTGGTGCCAAAAAATCTTTTTAACTTAAAAACAAATCTATGCAATAAATTTTTAGTTTAATCTTGAACAACTGTAAAATATGATACAGAGATAATAAACTTTTCATTTACTTCCTTTTCAGAAGTTAAATTCCTAAGACATCCTTCAGGTAGATTTGAAATTATCATTAAAACAAATGTGAGTCCTTTAAAGCAGGTTGGGAACAAAAGGAATCCTGAGAGAAAATCAACTAATACTGTTCAACTACCTAATTCAATTGCTTTCTTTATAATAAATATATTTGAAGAAGCAATAAGAATATATTCAGTATTCCAGATATAATTTTTTTAGGAAAACAAGACTAGGCTTATTTATTCTACTAACTTCTTTCGTAGGATACTTATTTCATTAATTTCCTTTTCTAATATAAGTATTTAAGTTCCCACGAAGTACCATCTATGCTGCTTTTTACAAGTTTGAATGAACATTATTGAAATCATCACTAAGTTTTAAAAATGTTTTAATTTCCAGTGTGATATTTTCTTGATAAGTGAGTCATTTTAAAGTGCTGTTTTCAATTTCCAAGTGAATGAGGATTCGTTTACCCTCTATCTACTTCTAATTCAACTGCATTCTGGAGAAAATATGGTATGTTTCATTCCAACACACTGGAAACTTTTGAGACATGCTACAGTATAGTACAGGAGTCAGAGAACTTTTTAATAAAGGGTTAGAGAGTAAACAGTTCAGCTTTGTGGGCCACACAGTCTGTGTGCGGCAGCTACTCAGCAAAACAGACATAGATAATACATAGACAAAAGGGCATGGCTGTGTTCCAAGAAAATCTTAGTCACAAAAACAGGCAGCAAGTTTGGTCCACATCCATAGTTTGCCAACCCCTGCTCTAACACATAGCCAATTTTTTATAAAAATTCCATGTATGTGTAAGTGTAGTCTCTAATTCAGTGCCTCCCAGCCAGTGTGCTGCAAATGGATACAGGTATGCTAACAGCTTAATAACTCAGAGCTTAGGGGTCTGGACAGAACCTAGATTCAACTAGCCTCGGGAGCTATATAGGTATTACCATTAACTATGTAGGCATGAAGAAAAATGGCTGAGATACATTGTTCTAATTGCTTGGTACAAGGTTCTATACACAACATGCCTGATAAATCAAAACTGTTCCTATGCTGACCAAATTTTCAAAAACCTACTAATTTTTTTGATTGCTTAACCTACCAATAATTAAAAATTTATATCAAACTCCTTCTCTGATGGTGGATTTGTTGGTAACTTCCAACCATTCTGTAAATTTGTGCTTTATACATTTGTAGAGTTGTTGTTGTTTTAAGGTACACAGAACAAGTCTGGGCTCTTGGTGACGGGACCATTTATCACTACAGAGAGAATATCTCCATCCTTAATAATGTGACCACACCTAGGTACACAGTTAATTCAACTAGGTGTACCATTTGTTTTTACTTTATTTTTTCAATTAATAGACAGTAAAATTGACTGTATGTTTGTGTGTGTGTAAAGTTTTACAAATTTAAACACATCCATGGAGTCAAACGCATAGACTCATCTAACCACCCCCACAACAGTTACCACCACCACAATCAGGACATACCACAAATCCATCACTGCAAAATACTTCCTTGTGCTATTCCTTGGTAATCATACCTCCCCTCTCCCTAGAACCTCTGACAAGCCCTGATCTTTTCTTCTTCCCTATAGTGAAGTCTTATGTTTGAGAGAATATCATATAAATGGAATCACATTGTAGAAATGGCATTATTTCTTCTTGTAAATGCTGGTATAATTTGCTGTTGGAACCACTTGGGCTAGGGAATTTATTTTCAGAGGTTTTTTTGGTGTTTTTAGACAAGGATCCAATTTCTTTAACAGTTGTATGATTATTCAGAGGTTTTCTGTTTCACTGTGGGTTTTGTTTGTTTGAGGTGATCAGGAGTTACTCCATTTCATCTCGTGCACTGAGTTATTCACAGTGTTTCCTTATTGTGCTTTAATGTCTGTTGGGTCTGTACTGAAATTCCTTTCATTCCTGATATTGGTAATCTGTGTCTCCTGTTTTTCAGAAGTTTCTATCAATTTTATTGACCTTTTCAAAGAATGAGCTTAGGAGATCATTGATTTTTTTCTATTGTTTTTGTTTTCTATTTCATTGACTCATGCTCTTATCTTTCTTATTTCCTTCCCTCTGCTTCCTTTTAGCTTGCTTTGTGCTTACTTGCTTCCTAAGGTGGAAGTTTAATTACTGATTGGAAACTTTTTTCTATTATAAGTATTCAATGCTCTAAATTTCCCTCAGTATTGCTTTAGCTGCATCCATACATTTTATATTTTCATTTCATTCAGTTCAAATACTTTCTGATTTACCCTGAGAATTCCTCTTTGACTCATGGATTATTTAGTAGTATGTTATTTAATTTCCAAGTGTTTGGGGACTTTCCTGTTATCTTTCTGTTACTGATTTCTAGTTTCAGTCCATCATAGCCAGAAAACATACTCTGTATGAGTACAATTCTTTTAAATGTGTTGTTTTTGACCCAGAATATGGTCTACGTTTGTGAATATTCCATCTATGCCTGAAATAAATGTGTATTCTGCTGTTGGTGTGTGGAGTGTTCTATAAAAGTTAATTAGATCCAGTCTGTTGACAAGTCTTGTTCAGTTCTATCTTCTTACTGATTTTGTCTACTAGTTCTATTAATTACTGAGAGAAGATGTTGAAATCTCCAACTATAATTATAGATTTCTTTATTTCTCTTTCCAGTTCTGTCAGTTCTTTTGTTAAGTATATATCCACATGGAATTATGTGTTCTTGGATATGATGGTTAACTTTATGTGTCACCTTGGGTAGGCTCTGGTACCCAGTTGTTTGGTCAAACACTAATATAGATGTTGCTATAAATGTATTTTGTAGACATGATTAATGTTTACAATCAGTTACTGTGAATAAAGATTACCCTTAAAAATGTGAGGGAGTCTTATCCATTCAGATGAAGACCTTAAAGAGCAAAAACTGAGGTTTGCTGGAAAACAAGGAATTGTGACTCAAGACTGTTAATATGGAAATCCTGCCCAACTTCCAGCCTGCCAGCTTGCCAACCCCTACAACTGAATAAGCCAATTCCTTAAAATCTCTCTCTGTGGGGAGAGGAGGGTGTTTCTCCAGAGAACCCTGACTGATACATTGGCAGAACGACCTTATGTAATGTCCTTATTTACCTCTGGTAATATTCTTTCTCCAAAATCTCCATTGTCAGATATTAAAATAACAACTCCAGCTTTCCATTAGTGTTTTCACTATTAGTTTGTATCCTTTAAATACCTGTAGATTTATTATGGACAGCATATAGTTGGGTCATATTTTAAAACCAATTCTAATAACTTCAGCCTTTAAATGGTATTTTAGACCATTTATATTTAATGTAACTTGATATGGTTATATTTAGGTCTTTTACTTTATTGGTTTGTCTATTTATAAAGCAAAATACTCAATATTATTTGCTTTATCATTTATTTAAATAAACTTATTATTTTGTTTTTAAAAACTATAATACATATCATTTGACAAAAATCAATTAAAAATTATTTGCAAAGGAAGAAAAACAAAGAAAAGACTTTTAGAATATCCATCTAGAAAAAGAAATCTTTACCTGAACTTGCAATTATCACAACATTTTTCAGTTCCCATAATACCCAAGGAGGCCTTTCGTAGTTGTTTGTCTTCAAAATGAGACAAGATGATTCTACCCAAGAGAAAATTTAAAATTAAATAAAAGAACAAAAACATATATGTTAAATTCATTGCTGAAAATAATGAGGTGAAATCATCATTAATTGATTCACCTGGGACCTCATTATTTGGCTTCAGTTTACTGAGGCAAAAAGAAAGTTGTCTTAAAAATTCAGCACATGTGCAATACCAACAAAATGTTCTTTCTAAATACCTCTAATCATTTTGCAAAACTTTTTTCTTAAAAGAGCACCACCCATAAATCTATGTGATTAAATTATATAAAATAAATAATACATACTGTCGCCTACATCTGCTGGAATGAAGATATTTTTCCATCTTTGCCATCATCTTTAATTTGTATAATCGAAAATTTTCATTATGTAACTCATTAAGTCGCTTCCTGTCAATTAAAAATATCACAGGAATATGTAAAATTGCATTAGTGATTTTGTTACAGGAAAAAGAGAATAGTAAAATGAACCCTATGTATCCATATTTGTATGATTCTGTGATTAAGATCTACTGTTCCCATTATACTGTAAGTCCTATGGAAACAGTACCATATCTGCTTTTATTTATTTATCATTGTGTCCTGGGCATGGAGCTTAATGGTTGGAACATAGTGGGCACTAAAAAAAAAGGGGGTATTGTTAAATGATTAATAAGTTAAAATTGTAATGGATAGGCACTCTAATAATTTTAATAAAATGGGCTAATATGTCCATTCAAGAGCTCAATTTATTCAGCTACATGGAAGTGCATTTTGAAAATTCTTCACTGTGGCAGGCCCATCATCAGTTACCACAGAGAAGTTTTTTTCCTGAAAAATTTCCCCCTATGGATGAGGGAATCAGTGGCTAAACCTGACACTGAAAATTTTTCAAGGTGAAGTTTTCCTTTCCAATATAAATTTCATAGAACTTAAGTGCCAATGAAATACTTGTTTTGTATTTACGTAGAACGGTTTTCCTGTATTTAAACACGTAAAAAATTTTTCATGACAGCCAATCAGCACAGAGCAACATGATTATCACACGCTGTCAAGGACAGGGGCATGCTCTCATAGAACTGACAAAGGAAACAAATAGTAAAGATAACCAAACAGCGGTGAGTAGAAGTTATTTGGAATAGGCACCACTATAGCATGGGATGAAAAAACCCAGTGAAACTGGTGGTATCTGAAGTAACTGTGGCTGAAGACAAATGGAAACCTGAGTGAACCTGAGGAGGAGAAAACAGCTTATGGGTGCACAACATTAGGAAATTATTGCATAGGATCTGTTACATTCCCAGTAGAGTCCCGATTTAGTTAATTCTTCACACTAAATAAGGCATGGCTGAAATAGGTCATCTCCTCTGGGTGGCAGCACCTACCACAAATGTTCTTAGATGTTCTCTGTATTGTATCATTTCAAATGCACTTGAATACATTACTTGAAATTTTGGATGCTGCCTCAAATGCTTTAAAGCTTATACGAAAAGAAAGAAAAAAATCTACAAGTGTGAAAATGTTTTTACCTATTTAAGTTAATGTCTGCTGGAGCCCAGAGTAGGTGACAAGAACTCTGAAGTCCATCCCGGCCAGCTCTACCCATCTCCTGGTAATAGGATTCCATTTCCTTAGGCGCACCATAATGAATGACTTTGCGAACATCAGCTTTATTAATGCCCATTCCAAAAGCTATGGTAGCTACGACACACTGAGAGTAAATAACAAGATAATTTGACAAAGTTTAGCAGAACTAAAATCTTACATTTTTACCTTTTAATTAGAATAATTAGTTCATTAACTAAAGTCCTTGGCATAAAACTGAATTTAATATAATTTCAACCAATCATTTATAAATTAAAAGATTACCTGTCCTGCCCTGGCTGGTGTTGCTTAATGGTTAGAGTGTTGGCCCTCGCACCTAAGAGTCAAGGGTTCGATTTCCCATCAAAGGCACTTACCTGGGTCAGTGTGTCTCTCTCACAATGATGTTTCTCTTTCCCTCTCTCTCCTCCTCCCCATTTTATTCTCTAAATATCAACAGAAAAAAATTCCTCAGGTGAGGATTAACAAAAAACAAAATAATTTAAAAAAAAAAGATTACCTACCCAATCTATAGATTAAGGATTAGTGACCATAATAAAATAGGACTTCTATTTCCTCTCTATAAGAATTAGCAAATAAAGTGGTTTCTCTCTCCCTTTAAGTACAAGACACAAAACAGTCTTAAAATAATTATTACATTAAATGAGACTTTGTGTTATTATGAAGTTTCAAGAGTTCTTACCCAATTGCACAGTATCTTTATATTTTCTAGCACTGTTCTAAGATGAAGCATCTCATTAAAGATGGTAAAATAAAACATGAATTTACCTCTGCATCTGTAAAAGGATAGAATTGGTAGAATACCTAATATACAGCAGTATACTGGGAAGAAGATTTACATAACTGGAGAAATTTCAGGGAAGAATTAATGACAAGAACACAAAAAACTAAACAAAAATTTTAAAAAGTATTAACAATAAGAATTCAAGAAGTTGTGCAAGAAAAGCAACAATAATATACTACATGGCTTAGTAATAAAAAGCATTTACAGAGAAATAATTATATATATATGTACTTGAATATATATTGATCTAATTAAAATTTTGACAATATTGAGAAGAAAGGGGGTTAGAAATATATGAATAGGCTGAGGAGAAGGGAAGGAAGGGATATGAAAGAGACCTAAACTTTCATCTTTCATAGCAGGAAGTCAAACAGATGATGGCTAAAACTAATAAACAAATCCAATTTTTTTAAAAACCTAAGTAGTAGCAGTATAAGCAAATTACTGCAAGATATAGCAATAAATACCAAAATAATAAACTAAAAGAGTTGGAATGGGAAATAAAAGTAGGAAAGGGATGAGGGGCTGATGCTTTTCATTGTAAAACTGTAGAGCTATTTAGTTCTTTACATACATGCATTATTAATAAAAATTAAAGTGCCTTTAAAAATGTGTTAATATGGACTAACATTAGCCAAAAAAGAAAAAAGAAAAAGAAAATGCTGAATGAAAGAAAGTACAATAAAGGTGAGAAATAAACACAAGAATGGAAATATATCAAGAAAAGGTTTTAGTGCTTAAGACTAGGCAAATTTGCTACATAAGAGTGAATAAGCAACAGAATTCTAGTTTTCTTTTTTAAGTGTTATTTCTTACTCAATTTTTCCAGCTTTAATGAGTTATAATTGACATATAACATTGTGTAAGCTGCCTGGCCGGGCGTGGCTCAACAGTTGAGCATCGACCTAGGATCCAGGCGATCAGGGTTTGATTCCCGGTCAGGGCACATGCCCGGGTTGCGGGCTGCAGCTGATCAATGACTCTCTCATCATTGATGTTTCTATCTCTCTCCCCCCCTCTCCCTTCCTCTCTCTGAAATCAATAAAGATATATTTTAAAAAAAAAAAAAAACATTGTGTAAGCTCAAGATGTATAATGTGATGGTTTGATACACATACATATTATGAAATGATTAATAAGGTTAATACTCAACACATTCATCATCTCATATAGTTCATTGTGGGGGGGTGCATAGATAACTCGTAAGATTTAATTTTCATCATCTGATACTATTCTTAGATGAGACCAACCTATTCTCTCAGGTGTAAGTAAAAATATTTTATCAAGTAATTAATTCACAACCTCATTCCAGAAAGAGAAGGAATTCAAGCCATCTTAAACCACAAATAAAATACAAAAGGACATAAAACTGAAAGTTAAGATTAAAAGTAAAAATGAGTGATCATAGAGTAAAACTGCAAATCTACATCCAAAGGTGGTTAGATATGGTTATGAATAATCGGAAAGAAAAAAATGTTTTTCTAAAATTATAAAATAGAAAATATTAAGATTCCAAACATCATTCAGTCCAAGATAATAAGAGCCAGGGAGGTGAACTCAGAAAATGAACTCTACTTTTAGGCTCACACTAAAGTATAAATCAACTATAAAGACAGGAGTGTGAATATTTGGAATTCTGTACATGTATGCATTCAGTAGGCACTCAATAAATACTCAATGGCAAGTAATCAATACCAAGAGCACCATACTATTCTATATAGATGAGGAAATGTATTTTCATTCTCGAGAAGGTGTCTGGGAACTCTCACTTCATATGTGAAGCTTTCTCTCCAACCATTCTAAACTATTCACAATGGCAAAGAAAGACTACACTGGTCAGTGGTCAGACACAACAGAAACCCTGATGTCAGCCTAGGGTGACACAATCAATATTAATCTCTTAATTTTCATAATGTGGCTAAAATTTTGCAACATCCTGTCATAAAAAGGGAAATATGACAGCATATACATGCATATACCCTTCTCGATATTAAGTATAATTAGTGACCACTGTGAGGTTTTTAAAACCATACTTCAAAGCAATGTTTCAATGAAGCTGTATATTGGCAGGAAACCCAGATGCATCCAACAAGTTTCCCATCACAACAAATTATACACAGAGAAAGTCTGTACTCTCTCATGTCTCTTAGGACATGTTTTTACCTAAATGAATAATTAGTAATACAGCATACTAGAGGAAATCATTGGTCAGCTAATGGCTCAAACATGGACTGTAAAGATTCAGTAAGCAGCAGCTAGTACGCTTTATCTGATAACTTTCAAGCTCCTGAGATAATAAAATAAAAATATAAGCATTTAAGGCTGCGGGTAAAATCTCTATTCTAGCCAGCTGTGATAGCTGTTCACACCTCTGAAAAGAGGAGGAAGAGAGAACAGGTGCTATCGGGCAGGTGCGCTGCACCACGGCAATGCAGAGTGCATTTTACAGAGTGTGCACAAGCCACACCTGAGGTAACTGGTCTGAACAGTACTGCTTTGGGGTGGTTAACAACTACAAATAATAGGGAGTGCTGGAGAGAGAGGACATGGATGACCTATTGGACAGAAAAATGCAAAGTAGAAGTTCATCTCTTAACCTGAGAGGAGGACTGGTCCACAGGCTTATAGTGACTGTGGATACGATGTCGACAGTATGAAGTTGTTGATTTAAACCTACTAATGTGACTTGAATTTAAATCTTCCCCAGTGTTCTGTATGACACCCATGGAACCAGGATTCCAATCACTACAGATTGAAATCATTGCATAACTGCAAATCACTACAGGAATCTCAGCTGTAGCACCTCGCAGTAGCTTCATCGATACCCTTCCTCGCTTCAGTTTTCTCCTTCAAACCAAACCTGTTTAGTGCTGCCAGTCGTATGTTTCTATAATACCATATTATCTTGCTCAAAAACACAGAATAGATGGTGTTCAAACTCCATTCTGTGGAGCTCTGGGGATTATAAGATATCCACAAGGACTATCTTAGAGATAAGGAGGCTCTTGGACCCCTTTCTCACTCACATCAACTTCAATAAGAATCATTCTACTTTAACCTGTCTTACCTACTAGATAAAATTTCATTTAAATAAAATATTATAAGGCTAAAGTAGTCTGGACAACGTAGAGGCACTTCACACCAATCTCAGCCTGCCTCTACAAGTCTTAAGGCCCTCTGTAACCTGGCCAACCAACCTACTCAATTTGCTGAGTCTCTAACAGTTCCTCCGTGCCTTTATACCTTTACTCTAAGCCATTCCTACTCCACACTCCCTTTCTCTCCAACCACTCCAAACTGTTCACAATTTCCTGCACTCTCATATCACAGTGCTTTGCACATGCGAGCCCTCCCTTCTGGAATTCTACCACCAGTTCCTTTTCCCTCTTCACCGAATGGCCTTGCACACTTGAAAAACTTCTACTCACTTGTTCAGACTCTACTCAAATTGCTTCTTCCTGGTGGACCATGCCCATTACAGAGCCTCCCTAAATAGCTAGCATTCCCTCCTCTGTGCACCTCAGCTCTATCTACAGGCTGCTAGTTATACTAGTGTATAAGAGTTTGTTCACATATGTATCTCCCACATTATACTTTGATTCCCTTTATTAGAGGAACTATTTTATGCTCAATACAAAGAAAGTATTCAATAAAGATTTGGTAAATAAATAGGAAAATATCTGTTTCCACTATGGAGAACAGAGTGTCATGATGATCGATCTTCACCTGAATTTCATCTCTCATGAACTTATGATGAACCTCCTTCCTTAAGCTAACAGTCATGCCTGCATGGTATGCTCCACAGGCTAACTTCAGTTTCCTAAGTTCAGCTGTCACTTGTTCTGTCATTTTCCTGGAAGGACAATAGATGATAGTAGGACCTTCAAATTCCCAGGTAGAACTAAAAAAAAAAAGAACATAAAAACAAATATGTATATGCATGCTTCACACCAGTTTAAATTTCATCTTATTTAATTTTCCTTAAAAAATTTTTAATTTCATTTCATTTTAATTAAATTTTAAATTTTAATTAAATTTTCCTTTTAGTAAAAGACTTAAAGGAGAAAGCATACAGAAAACAATAATATACTTTACATAAAAATCTAAAACATTATGACAAGCTGAATGTGGAAATGAATTATATTAAACCCCAAACATCTTTGAGTCAGTTTTTGTTCAAATTAAGGTTAAAACCAGAGACAAGTTTATTTATTTAAACAGAAGCCTTGATAAAAACCTAGCAACTATTGGAAATGCAATTTCCACCCTTTTGGAAATACAAAGCACCAGTTTAACAATCTTCATTTACATAAGGTAAGTAAATATTTACATAGGAGAGTAAATAAAATTTACATTACATTATTCTTATTCTCTCTTACGATCATAAAATTGAGTTTCTATGTTTACAGAAAAAACAAAGGCTTTCTTGTAATATTAAAAGATCATTTTTACAGTCCAAAGAAGTATTTACTAGTAATCGTGAGACTATGACTCTTATAGAAAACATCTTACAAAGTCTGTTTTAATGTATTCGCAAAGATATATGCACCCCTCTGTACATTGCAGCATTATTCACGGTGGCTAAGACATAGAAACAACCAAAGTGTCCTGCAGTAGAAGACAGGATAAAGAAGGTGTGGAACATGTACAGGACGGAATACTACTCGGCCATAAGAAAGGGTGAAATACTTCCATTTGCAACAACATGGATGGGCCTTGACAAAATTATGCTAAGTGAAATAAGTCAGTCAGAAAAAGCTAAGAACCATATGATTTCACTCATATGTAAGATATAAAACTGAAACTCATGGACACAAACAGCAGTGTGGTGGCTGTCAGAGGGAAGAGGGTGGGGTTAAGGGGGTCCTAATATATGGTGATGGGAGAAGATATGACTTTGGGTGGTGGGCACACAGTGCAATATACAAATCTTATAACACAGAAACCCACACCTGAAACCTACATGTTCATATTAATTACTGTCACTCCAATAAATTTAATAAAAATAAATAAATAAAATTTAAAAAAGAAAATGTTTTAGAAACCTGTGCTTATTTATTAAAAGTGTAAATGATGATTTCCATAGACCTTATTTAATTCCTTAATATATTCATTTCCATAAATACATTCATTTATGCTGATTTAATGATACAAAAAGAGTGTACTATTTTAGATATAGAAAAAGTTATTTAATTTCTAATACATATACCCTTTGATGCAATTTTAAGTTTAATAATCTATAGCAAAAGTATAATAGTGAAAAAACTCTATGTTCATCATTATATGCATTCAACTATAAAATTCTAAGCAAACATTAAAAATTAAAAGTATATGAAACCTTTAAGAAGGACTAGGGTAAAGTAATGAAAATCATAAACAGAGGAGGGGAAATCAGTGAGTAATTGCAGAGTATTACCGAATAATCTACTCAAGGCAATTTTTAATAGTGACCAAATGGGCTTCCATATCAAGAACTCACAGTAGATAACTTCATGGAATAAGATAAAATAATTTTTTTTTTTTACAATTATTTTTAAAGTACAAAATCTCACTTAAAGTACATTTAAGAAAAAAACTGTTGACCAAAATGTGGGTATCATAATATCCTATACATTAAGGCCCTAATTTAAGAGGACACAACATAGCAAAGATACTTAAATGAAAGGAAAAATCTGCAGTAACAATGGATATACTGTGAAACTACTTCTACATAAACTTAACAGCACTGAAAACTACAAGTGTATATCAGTACAGTGCAGACACAGAAAAACTTGTAAACCTGAATGACAAAATATCAACGGTGATTATAACTGAGGAATGGGACGGGAAGACTGAAGAGTTTTTCAATTTATATGTATCTATATTGTTCAAATTAATACTAAGATGACATATCACTTTTTACATTTTTTAACAATGTACATATGTAGAAAATACATAAAAATTTGAACTTGTATAGCAGAAAAATCTAAAGAATAAAGATGACTCACTACTTTGCCAAGTAGTTTACTAAAGACTGTTATTCCCTCACAACCATTTCCTGGGGGGGACTGATCTTCACCTAACCGTAAATTAGATAGGTGAGGGAGGCTTAGCTATCTAATTTAAATGTATCATGAATATAGAAAACAAAAGATTAGGAGAGTAGATAACGATCGGACTGAGGAGACTCTAGCCTAGATTAAACAGCCTTCTTTACGAGAAGGGTTCCCGCTGAAGATGGAAAGGAAGGGAAGTACAGTGAGTAATCACTTCAGAGAGATCACCAACAGCCAGAATATATTCAGTACATTCTTGTCTTATTCTGAATATAGGACACTCGAGCCAGTAGCAAAACCCTCCATTTAATAACCCCCAAGAGTTATTACAGACTTACTGCAGTTATTATCCATTAACCTAGAATGGATCTTCTCTTCTGTTTATCCCTTTCTGAAAAGGAAAACACTAACGATGCTCTTTAAACACTACTTGACTACATTTATTTTGTGTTTGTATTGGTAGAACAAAGACTATTTCCATGTATACTGACCTAAAAACACATTTCATGACTAGAAAATTTTAAGCTTTTCACTGAGCAGACAGATCAGGAAATAAGGCTGAAAGCTTCTTAGCATATAAAATGCCTGCAAACAAAATAAGGAGGAAGAAGTACTAGTGACAGTTTCTTCACCAGTAAAATGAAAATAATATTAGCTTACTGAATAGTTATACAGATTCAACTAGATCACTCACATAAAGTGCCTAGGGTAGTACGTGGCACATGATATAGGCTCAAAAGTGTTTATTATTAAAATTACTTTTAAAAATTCCCTAATACTCAAGTTTGTCATATAATTAGTGAACTAGATAGAATTCAGATATGAGACTCATTTGTTTCTGTTGTTTACTTGTCAATTATTAAGAGTGTATGTCCTACTCATACAACAGTATGGAGTATAAAAATATTAGAAGAATTCATTTCTTCACAATTTGACTTTTCCTCAGTCACTATCTTGATTATGTATCTTGAACCAAAGCTAAGTAGAATTTGAAGTATGTTAAATAAACATTAGAAAGAAATAGTAAAAAATAATAATAGTAATTTTTTCAAAAAGGAAACAGTTACCAAAATTTATCAACCATGAAATCCTCACCTTGTTTTTTGCACAAGAAATTGCTTCAGATCCTGAAGGATGTTTCCTGTTTTTCGTCCAACTTCTAAATACAAGTTTGGTCTATCAAAACCAGTACAGGTAATCTGCGGATTCTTCAGGTTTAAACAACGTACAATGTCTTCCCGGATGGAGGAACTTGCAGTAGCAGTAAGAGCAACTACTGGAACCTGAATGAAGTACAACAATTTTTCGAAAAGCAGAGAGCTCATTAATTCCTAAAAATTCTACTGCCTTTTTACAAAGAGACTAGAAAACAATGACAGGAGAAACAGTGATTAAAATGCAACTTTCACGTTACTTTTTTTGAGAAGGAAAAAAAATCCCTACTTATGTGTTTCTCAGCCTCTAAAATACATTTACTGTTTTAAAAATCAGGAATCATTTAAATAATATACTAAATCCATTCGATTTCAAAACATAATCTACCTTGTCTTATTAAATTAAGGCTACTTACCAGCTATCTACCTCTCCATTTACTATTTTTAACATTTATTTAATGTATTTATAATCATGCTGCTATAAATGGGGGTATCATTATGCCTTATTTTTTATTAATCTGTAATCCTCAAATTATAAACCCTTTCATTCACTGAAAATCTAATTGTATATATAAAGCAATGGGTCTTTTCTTGTCTCTGATATTAAATATATTGGTTCATGGCTTCTCAGATCTAAAAGCAAAACTCTCAATGACCTGAATATCCTCTCTCCAGTTTTACTAAATTAAATACGGCATACTATAAATAAGAAAAGTGCATAAAATGAAACATCTATTATTAATTGATTCCTTGAGCAACCAAGTCAGGTTCTATTTTCAGCCTAGCACAGACTTTTTGACTGTATTAGCAGCCAAAGCAGGAGGCACGGCACATACCAGGAAAAGTTATGAATATGTAATCTTTCCAAAATTCTAAAGTAGGATCACAACATACCTCCCATTAAACTAGATTTACCATTTTTGTCCCTATTATCATAAGGAGTTATAATCCACTATGCTATTATTTCATAATCAGAAAAAATGAACTGAGTCTTAAAGTTGTTCCTAAATCATTAGCTGTTCTACATCCAAGAATACAACTTTTTTTTTAGAGAGAGAAGGGAATATCGGTTTGTTGCTCCACTCTATTTATGCATTCATTGGTTTTCATTGGTTGATTCCTATGTGTCCTGACCTGGGATTGAACCCGCAATCTTGCTGTATTGGGAAGACGCTCCAACCAACTGAGCTACCTGGTCGGGGCTCTTAAAATATTCTTTTTGGCCCGCTACAAATATAGTAAATAATATCCTCATAAAATAGCTCTTAGATACACCACATTTACCCCTAACTAGATGTGAGATTTTGAGCTACTTGTTTCACTCTCTATACTTTGGTTTCTTCATCTATAAAATGGCTTCAAATAATAGCAACAATCTCATAAAGTTATTGTGAAGACCAAATGAGATAAAACATCTTATGCACTGAACATAATGCATAGTACACAGGAAGCACTCAAAAAATTTCAGCTATTACTGTTATTGCAACAAGTGAAAAGAATTCCATACAAAAACTTCAGAGCCACAGGCACTACTCCCAGATTTGCCACTGACTGGCAAGGGTTAACTTCTCCTGGCCTCGGTTTTTTCATCAAAATATGAGACAGAGAAGGCTACATGATGTTAGATTCTGTTCTAACAAAAATTCCTACTTTGCCACTAGGAACTCCCTATTCAAGTGACCAGCTAACAGTGAAAAAAATCATTATAAATTCAGTCTTTTGTCTCCAACACTCTAGAAAGTCAGTTAAGAATGTTGCTTCCACAAATAGAGAATGGAATAAAATAATAAAATATATTAAAGAAACAATAGTTATTTACTTTCACTTCAGAAATGAATAGAATCTCTTCTCTTAGAAGCTTGTTGTGATTTATGACATTTCAAATTTATAAAGCAGGATGAAGCTTAAAAATAATATGTAGGTTGGTTATGAGAAAGGTGACCATACAACCTGGTTTGCTGCGACACTCCCAGTTTATGCTGTCATCACAACATAATTATTAACAGCTTGTACCCCTTAATTGTCAAAAGCGAACTGTTATGGATGATAAGTTATACTGTTACCTATATCAAGTTCTTAACTCATAAAACTCTTATTCTTTAAAAGCTGGCAAAAATTTGTTTCCTTGGTAATAAGTGTCAAGTTTTGCTAAAACAAGCACTAAAATAAAAATTAATCTTGTGACTATAAATTTAGGAATGATATAGTCATATACTTCAATGGTGTTGGACCTACAGATTCAGAGAATTATAACTATTCCATCTGCTTCTAAATTGGGTCATGTTGTTAATTCTAACTTTGTAATCCATAATACTAAGGCAGGACAGTAAGAAGTTAGGAAAATTCCTAGGCAAGTAGAATGGGGAAACTGAGACAAAATAATTTAACAAGGACAATTTGAACAACTTACAGACTGCAAGACCTATCTTCCCTGACCAAGGACACTTAAGAACAAATGGTTTATGCTTCTCCTCCCTAACCAGAGAATAAATAGCTTAAATCACCCTGGTTGGGGAGACAGAGAACAAAGACCCAATTAATGCCACTTGTACCAGCCAAACCCAAGGACAATGAAGTCGGGGGAACAAATAACAAAAACTCAATTAAAGCAAGACAGACCCAAGATCAAAGTAAAACAGTGAACCTGACCAGAGAATAATCCCAAACTCCCCTACACGCTCATTTTAATGTGTCAGCATATTAAAAATGTACCTGTAAAGCTGATTAATATTCTGCTGAAACCCTCCCCTAAGTTTCTCAACCACAGAAGAGAGATAAAACGCTCAAGACAAAGGATGCCAGTGTGGCTTCTCTCTGGAGTGCACCCATGCCCCTTTGGGCATGAACTTTTTATTTTCTTTCTCCTAAACTCTAAGGGCCCCACAAGCCTTGCAATCAGGAGAGCAGTGGGCAGCGGCAGCTTGTCCTGGGTTTACTCCCTGAACCTGTCTCCAAGGCCCCCTTTTTCTCTAATTTTCCAGTGAGGTAAAAGAGGCCCCACCTTGGCTCATTTCTTTCACTGTGACTTTTACTTCCCAGGGAGCTAACAGCAGCCCTGCCTTGTCTCTCTGCTTTCCTATTACGTTTCTAGGGAGCCAAAGCAGAGCACCGCTTAAGCTCTCTTCTGTTGCTTCTTCTACCCTGAGCTCTTCCTTAGTTTCACTGTCCCCAGCTTTAATAAATATACTCTCAAAATCGCCTAGACATGGATCATGAAATCTTTCCTGCACAAAGTCAAGAACCCACACACTACTAGCGGGCCAGAGGCAGACCAGCTCCGGGCTGGTCCTAGTCAGTTAACATTCTCATGCCTCATTCACTCATTCCAATTAGTTATTGAGTGTGTACTGTGCACTGATCTTTGTGAAAGGACTCAGAAGAAAGCAATGGAAAGAATTGACTTGTCTGGTGGATCTCACATTTCCTCTTATTTGAATTTTATAGAACTTTTAGACTGATGTAGAGCTTTCTGCCTGGCTTCTCTTTCTTGAGACTCATTTTGTCTGACTCTCTCCAAAATGGAATCTTGTGCCAAACAGTTTAGTGATTTCTATGCTATTTTTGAACTTATTGAAATAATGTATGAATCACTGCAGGTTTATACCAGTTGTCCCAGTGTAACTGCAATTGGAAGGAGGAAAAAAGACACTGAGAACAGTGAGGAAAATGCAAGTCACACAACCACCAGGTGGCATTTCTCACCACTTAGCTAATAAAAGGATTCATGAAAACACTAGGGGAAAAAGATTTTCTCAGCCATTGCTTGACTAACATTCTGGGCAATATTGAATCATTTCAAGAAATGAAAATAATCCAATGGAGTCCAAAGCCAGACATAATAATAGACTTAATTCAACACTAAAACACGTTTAAGAACTGCATAAAATATTTAAAACTCCTCTAACACAATCCTTCTAGAATCAAAGGCCTAGGAAAGGATTATAGGAAGCAATTTTCCTAGTTTCCAAAAGCTTACCTAAAACCACTCTAAATTAATGGAAAGCAGTCCTCAAGGTACACTGGCCCCGTGACTGTCACCATACAAATATCTTCTTTCTCTATTACATGTACTAGTAACAATATTGATCTTTCTATATTATTTGTACTGTTCCATATACCATTTATTGTTTGGCACTATTACTTCTATTTTTTTTAGGTATGAGTCTAAACTCCTTTACTGGACTATGAACTATTTTAGGGCAGAAACTAAGTTTCATATTTCTTTCAAATTGTTTGCTTTAGAAACTAGCAGTGTCGTAGTATATAACTGTTGCCCAACTCTACTGCTCACTACCTGTGAGAAAGTTACTTCTCTGATTCTCAGCTTTCTCATCAGATTCATTTACCCACTTATTTACAGAGTACCTGTCATATGTCATATACTGTTCTAGAGTTTATAAGCCAATACATCAAAACTCCTCCCCACAAAGAATATTCTAGTGGGGACCCACAGACAATAGACAAAATAAAATACGGTAAGTTAAACAGTGATAAGTGCTATTAAAAAGTAGCAAAGGAATATGAGAAATGTTGAATGTTGGAGAAAGGGTTAATTTGAAATTTTTCCTATGGTGGCCTAGGAGGCCTACATGAATAAGAAATATTTTAGCAAAGATCTGAGAGAAATAAGGGATCACACCATGTGAATTACCTGGGTGAAAAGTATTCAGGGACAGGAAAGAGTGGGAACAAAGCCCTGACACAGGAGCATGGCTGGTATGTTTGACAAAAGTCAAGGAGAAGAGGGTAGCTGGAACCTAGAGAATGAGGGGGCAAATACCAGGGGATGGCGTCAAAGACACGGTACTTGACGAAGCTTACCAACGGGAACGCTGCCTTCAAGGAGCCCAACATCCTGAAGGAATCTCTAAAATCATGTCCCCACTCAGAAATACAGTGTGCCTCATCCACGGCAATCAGTGTAATACCTATAAAAAAAAGAAAGAAAGAAATGGGGAAAATAAATTAAAGTTCAAAAAGAAGGAATAATTTCATCTAAGTCAGTATCACCTTCTTCACTTAGAATACATCACTATTACACAAAGAATAATAAAATCAAACTATTTGGTTCATATGAAAACACCAGCATAGGTAACATCAGATCACACCAAAAATCATTACTGAGAAGCGGGGAAATAAAGAGATTAAAAGTATACAGATAAAAGAAAGAAACATTTGTATATTATTCAAACAACGTATTTACTGGATTTCAGCTTTCATCATCATTCCTCAGAGAAATGAAATACTTATCATTACCTGTCCTCAAGACTATCACTAATGAACCATCTGTAATGATAATACCCTGAAAAAAGAGCTTTTCTATTTCTCTTTGGTAATACTTTTAATTTTATCTCATTGATTAGCCATCAAGAGAGAGAATCAGCACATTTCTGGTGAGATTAAGTGTGTGACTATCCATGACTGGTCACATATCATATTACACAGAGTTCCTCTAAAATGCCAGTATTAAAACATGATAGTTAATAGTCTCTAACATTTATTAGTTACTCTGAAGATTAAATTAGATCACTCTCACATAAATGCTAATACAGCCCAGCCCACGTGACTCAGTGGTTGAGCAACGACCTATAATCCAGGAGATCACTGTTCAATTCCCAGTCAGGGCACATGCCAGGGTTTCAGGCTCAATCCCCAGTAGGGGACATTCAGGAGGCAGCTGATCAATGACTTTCTCTCAGCACTGATGTTTCTCTCTCTCTCTCTCCCTCTCCTTTCCTGTCTCTGAAATCAATAAAGGTATATTTTTTAAAAATAAAATAAATAAATAAAATCTTCCTTAAAATTACAGGTTTGGCCCTGGCCGCTGTGGCTCAGTTGGTTGAAGTGTCATCTGGTACACCAAAAGGTGGCGGGTTCAATTCCCAGTAAAGGCACATACCTAGGTTGTGGGTTCGATCCCCCATCGGGGCGCATGCAGGTAGCAACAGATTGATGTTTTTCTCTCACATAGATGTTCCTCCTCTCTCTCTCTCTCTCTCCTTCCCTCCCTATCTCCCTTCCTCTCTCTAAAATAAACTTTTTTTTAACTTACAGGTTTGACTAACTACCTTTTAATGAAGCTGAACTCTGTCCCTCACAACAAGTCTAGGCAAGCTTTTGCCAACTTTCATTTTAAATGTGCAAGTCCAAGTGTCTGACCAGGTCCTATAGATATTTCGTTTAGGTATACCTATCACTCAAGCTTTATTACATGCTTGTAATTGTCTTTTGTTAAATGACAATTACAAGTGTGCTTGGTTTTAGGAATCTCCATATAAATTATGTTTGCTGCTTCTGTTATAAATCCATACTACTTAAATAATGTAACATTTATCATAAAACTTTACAATTTGATTAGCTAAATGTCAGACTACTGTACAAATAAAATTCTGAGTATATTCACTTTTGAGAGCATTTTACAATTTCCTGCAAACAAAAGCCAAAGAAAAATATTTCAAAAAGAATGTATCCCCTTTTGTTCAACACTGAGAGTCAACCAAAATGAGCATTTTCATCTATCATATGCACAGTATTGTGCTGCAATGCTTACAGCGTCCATAATTTAATCTACTATGAAAAATAAAAATAGAGAATTAGAACTACCTGTCAAAGGATCCAAGCACAGACTTAAACTGATTATTAACTCCATCACAGTAACAAAGAAAATGCTAAAATAGAACAAAACACATCCAGACCACTATGGACACTGACTCCAGCTTTTACAATAAATCCAGACAATTTATGTCTCTAAGGTAGTTAGACTTAATCTAAAGTAAAATATTCACAAGAACTTCATACAACCTAATAGGAGACACACTAAATTTGTTTCCCATTAAAGGCAAAAATATAATATTCCAATAAGGAATTTTAACAGTTGATGGAAGCTCTCTTTGGCAATATATTTACTCAAATGTTAATTTCTCCCCTCATTCTTTTGTTAGTATTTAACACATACTAAAAAGACACAAATGTGTTTTCATTATACCGTAAGAAAAAACGTTAATTGCTCTCCTAGAGTTACATGCAAGTAACCATTAAATGAGGTATTGCAGTGTTGAAAACTCTGCCTATGTGAAATTATTTTAATATATAATTATACAAGATTATATAATATTAGAAAACTAATATTGGTTGGTTCAACTGAATGTCTGAAATGTGTGCATTTGCAATAGAAGCCTTGATAGCTACTCTTGGATAGCTGAGCTTGACCATCAAGAAGGAAAAACCAGCCCAGATGGGCATGGCTCAGTGGTTGAGCATTGACCTAGGATCTAGGAGATTGTGGTTCGATTCCCGGTCAGGGCACATGCCCAGGTTGTGGGCTCGATCCCCAGCAAGGGGGGTGCAGGAGGCAGCCAATCAATGACTCACTCATCATTGATGTTTCTATCTCTCTCTCTCCCTCTCCCTTCCTCTCTCTGAAATCAATAAAGATATTTTTTTTTTAAAAGGAAAAACCAGACAAAAAATTTTTTTAAAAAAATGGTGTCAGCTTTTGACTAATTCTATATTTAAATTTTCTAAGAAAAAAGTTCTAACTTATTACCTAATTTTTTAAATTAATCATACTCACTGGTGGCACATAATCAAAAGTACTGTGGTTTCCAACCTTGACTACACATCAAAATTACCTGTGAAAAGCTACAGGTGCCAGGGCCCCAGTCCAGGCATTAAGTCAGAATTTTCAAGGTTGAGGATCCTACATTTTTCAAAAATTTGAAAGGTGATTCTCTTGGACAACAAGAGTAAAGAACCACTACATTGATTTAATTTAGATTCAAAATATATAATAAAGGAAAATTATAATTTCTTAGAATCTAAGACTCAACACTCATTCAACAATACACTTAAATGCCTACTATGTGCCAGGCACTGCACTAGGGAAAATATAAATAAATAAGAATGGTATTTTTTTTCCTTAAAAAGTTTATAATGTAGCAAAAGACAGCATATATAAACAGGTAATTATAATACAGGAGCCTAATTTCTATGGCAGAAGGAATTATAGAATTCTGTGAGAGAAGACAGGACAGACACCAATTTGGAGAGTCAGAGATTTCTTGGAAAAGTTAATGTTTGAAATAAACTTTAACAGAAGTGAAATCCAATATTCATCCATAAGTTTAACTTTAAAGAGTAACTTGATTCAATAAATACTTATAAGGATCCTATTTTATCACTTACCAATATCAGCCTCAAGTTGCTGAAGTAGGTACAAGTTACCTGAACAGAATTCTGGAGTCAAGTATACAATCCGGTATTTCCCTCTATAAAAACAAAACAAACAACAACAAAGCAGTGAATTATATATTTTAAATGGATGAATTGCATAGTATGTGAATTATGTCTCAATAAAGCTGTTTAAAAAGAACTCAAGCATTGGGGCATTACAAATAAAACAGTTATATTTCCTCAAAAAAAACACAAACAACACAATAAAACAAGACAGGAAATATAATACAATAAAGAAAACAATAACCTAGTGAATTACAACTTAAAACCGTAATACCTGATAAATATTTAAATAATACATTATGCTAATTACTAAAAACTAAATGAATATTATGTACATATACACACATATACTGTTCTTTGATTTCACTTCAACCCATCCACATAAAAACTGACAATGCCTATCAGGGAGCACTCAGCATTAAGTTTCTCTCTAAAATCAATAAACACATCCTTGGGTGAAGATAAAAAAATATTTTTAAATACCACTCTGGTATTAAAAAAACAAGCGGATACATGCATGGAGGATCCCAAGACATGATGCTGAATGAAAGAAGTCTTACAGAAAAGAGTTCCCATTGTATGACTCCATTTACGTGAAGTTCTAGAATAAGCAAAACAAAAGTGTGGTAGAAAAAATTAGAACAGTGGTCTGCTTTACGATGAAGGAAAAGTGGGGACAGAACATAAAGGAGCTTTCTGAGTGACAGTAATACTGTATATCTTCATAGGGGTTTCGGTTACATACTTATATGCATTTACTCGGCATTTGCATATATGATATTTGTTATCAATACTCGGTAAATACATGTGCGTATGTTTGTGTAGTAATATACACATAAGTTTATATATATATATGTTATATATATATATATATATGTTATATATATATATACACACACACATATTTCTCTGTGTGTCTGACAATTTTATTCTAGTAAGGAATTATGTCATAATGAGATTAGTTGGGCAAGAAATGTAGAATCTAGTCCCTGCTCAGCTGTTTATTCATTGAGTGAGTGATTTTTTGGGCAACTTACTTTGAGCCTCAGTTTCCTCATCTGTAAAATGTAGTAAAACCAGATACTCTCCAAGTTCTCTTACAAAAGCAGAGTTTTACAATCCTATGATTACAATGCCAACATTACAGTCGAGAATTGTAATCTTTCAGTTTGAAAGATTTTTAAATTAATAGTTCTGTGAATACACTATAAAAAGAAAGTACATTTTTACATCATGGACATTTCGTTTATGCACTAAATACAATTTTTTTGTATACAAAATTCTCTCACACATCCCAGAAACCTGATCAGAAATCATATAAATTACTCACAATTTAATATCCTTTAGAACCTTTTGCGACTGTGCTGATCCCAGAAAACAAGCTGAAATGTTGGACATTCTATAAGAAAAAAACACACATTCTGGAGCCATGTACACACTATAAATATCAACTTCATTCTGAAGCGAGAAGGAATAAAGAAATATTCTTTAAAAAATATATTCCTCTTCTTTGTAATCCTCACTCTTTTTATAATTCACTAACTTGATAAACAAATTCCTTCAAGGGCCCTATTAGAAGGCAGGTTAAGGTGAGTTTTTTCAAAAAGATTGCAAACTCGAGTTAAAGATGTCTAAAATGTTTTCATAATTAAGATATAGGCTTCCATGTATATACTTCATACCGAGCTAAAGAGCAAGGGTAACTGAAAGAGAACAAAATTCTGAGGTATGCAATTTAAAGTGGCATAAAGTTTGCTTTAAAAAATTTTTTTCTTGGGGCCACCTGGTGGCCTTGAATTACAAAGAACTCAAGAAAGAAGATAAGTTCTTCCACTAACATGTCACTTATTACTTATAAAAGTAAAACAACACTTACAGAAATGTGTTACTAGGAACTAGATTTTAAAATACATAATAGATCAGATGTTTCCTTCACAGAAGAGAAGAAAAAGGTGACAATGTGGCAAAGAAAACATTACTTACTCAAGCTGGAGCACTTGGTCTTCCATCAGAGAAATAAGGGGAGAGATGACAATGCCGATCCCGCCTACATAAACAGGGGGATACTGGAAGCACAAGCTCTTTCCATAGCCTTGAAATAAAGATAAAATGCTCACTGAAATAAAAATAAAGCCTTGGTACTTTGATTTCTCCTTACAATGCACCTGAATGAGTTGAAGGATCACTTACTAATATGCTATCTTCGTAAGAGGTAATTCATGCACAAACTTAAGCATCTACTCTCAGTTCACTCTCTTCTATATTTTACACCGTTTGTGTTTGTACAGTTGGCTCCATTATCCATGGGGGGTATGTTCCAAAACCTCCAGGGGATGCCTGAAGCCATGGATAGTACAGAACCCAATACATACAACCTTCTTTCCTATACACACCTATGATAAAGTTTAATTTATAAATTAGGCAGAGTAAGATTTTAACAATAACTAATAACAAAGTAAAACAATTATAACAATATACTGAAATACAGTTATGTGAATGCAGTCTGTCTCTCAAAATATCTTATTGTAATGTACTCACTTGAAGGCAGCACTTTATGGCTTCTCTCTGGCATATCCAAATTGCCAGCATCACTACTCTTGTGCTTTGGGGCCATTATTAAGTAAAACAAAGATTACCTGAACACAAGCACTGCATTGCTGTGGCAGTAGATCTGATAACAGAGACAGCTACTAAGTGACTGACGGGCAGGGAGCGTCTACAGTGTGGATACACTGGACGAAAGGATGATTCACGTCCTGTACAGGACAGAGTGGAGTGAGACTGTGAAAGATTTCATCCCACTACTCAGAATGGTGAGCACTTTACTTATGCATTGTGTATTTCTGGAATTTTCCATGTAATATTTTCGGACCATGGATGACAGACAGTAGGTAACTGAAACCACAGAAAGTGAAACCTTGGATAAGGGGGAAATACTATATTTGTATTTTGAGAGTTTAATGAAAGATTAGGCATTTAAAACTCTTTTTAAGTTTTATTTTTAAAGGATTAGGTTATTTCCTTAAGTAAACTTACCAGTTGCCATGACAACAACATTATCTCTTCTTTCTTCCAATACAGAATGAATCACTTTCCACTGAACCCTGGAGAGTGAAAACACAAAAAGCTATTTTGTTTTACTAAGAAGAAACCCAAGAGACAAGTGGAAACCCATTTAACTTCTCCACTTCCTCCAATAGAATTTCTTTTACATTTCTGAGCTTCAAAATAAAAACGTACGTACGAACCCTAGAACTTTAAATTTAGGTTACATGGATACGTTACATGTGCACTTAAGATTTGTAACTGTACATACATTTAAAGTTTGACCATTTCCTTGTATGTAAATTTCACATCAAAAGAAAAATAAATAAATAAATATTGAAATATAGTTAATGATTTATATGCTGAAGCACTTAGGGGAAGTGTTATGATGTCCACATTTGCCTTGAGATGCATTTTAAACACTGGATGGATCAAGGAATGGGTAGAGATGATCAATAAATATGTGATAAAGCAAGTGCAGTAAAATGTTGAATATACAGGTATTTTTACTATAAAGTAAAAAAACTCTTTCAACTTTACTGTATATCTTCAAACACTTTTTAAATAAAATACTGAGGAAAAAATCAATTGGAAAGGTGATCTTCTCATGTGCTAACAACCTATGCTTCCTTATCTGAGTGCTTATACAGGGTACCTAATTTGTGAAAATTCATTGATCTGTACATTTATATGCATTTTTCTGTATGTAGGACATAATTGTTATTTATTAATTTTAGATCAAAAAGAACAATTAATTTTTCCATGGATTAAATTTTAAATTCCCAGAAGAGAAAAAAATCCAATCTAGATATCTACATTCTTATTAGCTGTATTCAAATTTACTCATTCCACATCTCACATTAATATTTGTAAATGTGCCCCCTTCAATGTAAATATATTTAAATACATTTAAAATAGTAAGATTATCACTGTTCTTCAAACTGCTGTCTTACAAATTTCTGTTACATCAGTATGCTTTGGATAATAAGATGGACAAAACAGGCTCCTTGATATTTACTTAATGAAAAACAAGTCAGCATTAAATTAAGATTAATTTACTAGTGTATTTAAACTAGTTTCTACCCAGAACTCTCTATGGTAAGGAAAACCATTTTTCATTGCTTATAAAAATAATTTACAGGCATGAATTTTATATAAATATTACTTCAAACTAACTTTGTATTCACTTATAGGAAATACAGTGTCACATATATAAACTATAGTAAAGTTGTGCTGTTACTGTTAAATGGATGGATTATTTGCTTTTTTCCCTTGTGAGGAATATAGTAAATATGCAATTTAATTAACTGAGACTATGGTCCTGGCTCAGCTGGTTGGGCATCAGCCCATGCCCCAAAAGTGTAGCAATTCGATTTCCTGAGGAGGCATGTGCCTGGGTTGCGGGTTTGATCCCCAGTAGGGGGCATGTGGGAGGCAGCTGACCGATGTTTCACTCTCACATAGAAGTTTCTCTCTCTCTCCCCCTCTCCCTTCCTCTCTCTAAAACTTAATAAAAATAAAAATTTTAAATTTAAAAAAATTTGAGATTACACTCACGGCTTAAAACTGGAATGGCCAAAGTAGGTCTTGAGGCAAATAACTTGCTCTGCATTCGGTCCTGGTATTGAATGGTCTTAAAATAAAATAAAATGGGTACTTATGTTAAAATAGAAGTTAGAGGGAATAAAAGTTTTATTTTATTGGCTTCTTGTAAAGAATATAGTGATAGGAACCAAAGGTTACTGTTTTCTGTCTTTTATATCCCTCCAATTGGGTCCTCTGGGTACCAATCATGACTCTAGGGAAACACCTTGATAATTACCTAATTCTAAGGATTAGAACTTCGTTGTGGTTCACACTTTGCCAGCACTGTTAAAAAAACGATGTTTTGGAATTTGCTATAACTTCTAAAAATCAACATTAGACCCAACCATAGCAAGTGATATATCAATCCAAATTTTATAATATAGCCGTTTTCAACTTACGGTAATCACAAATTACATTACAGTTACAAATGAAATCCATAGATAAAATAAAATCTTCATCTTAGTTACCACTCCACCAAATCTTTGACCAAAATTCTAACTGCATAGCACAAGGGAGTTATGTTAACTTTACCCAATTGATTTTCATTTTCTGCTCAGGTTGAAGGGTTCAAGAGTGGCCAAGAAAGAACCACCAAAGAATCAAAATAATTCACCTCTAAACAAATGAAAGTTCATTATACTTCTCAGCTTTAACAATTCTAAACAGAAAAGTAAATTGATTTGGACATATCGTATGTGTATTAATAAGAAAGCAAAGGGGGGAACATTTTTTTAACATCTTCATATATTTCCCACCTATAAAATGTACTTTAAATTTCCACATTGTAACACTGATGACATCTAGCTCTAGAGAGAGTTCTACTTTTGAGAAGTCCCCATAGTTTGACATAAAAGATGTGACTACTTACACTTAAATAATAGTAGGTTCACTTAGTAGATTCTTTACTATAGTAAGTATATAAAGCATGAAAATCAGTCTATTTTGCTATTTGACATTGTCCTGCTTGTTTTAAGTAATAAGCTCCTGCAAAACAGACACTATGTACCTATGCCATTTACAATAATGTTTATTATCAATAATTAATGATTCTTTACCAGTAATTTATTATAAGTTTGAGAAAATACAAAATTCAGGATGAAAAGTTTCACATCACCACAGTCACCAAATGACACAACACTTCTATTACTCTACTTTTATAAACAGTAAGACTGTGCTTTATGAAAACCAAAGCACTACGGGATTTCATGACAAGTTTATAGGAGTTAATCAGCTGTATGCCACAAAATCCTTGAGCTCCAAACCATTTAAAAACTGGACCCTAAGCTAAAGTCAGTGGTAGGCATCAGAGGGGAGTCCCTTCAAACCCACTACAGTGCGAACCTTCATTATCTTCCTCTTCAACAATTTCACCCTCATCTCCGTCTTCTTCAGAAGGAACATCCAAATTTCTTTCCACTTCTGTGCATTCCGAATGAGTTGGATCTACTGTGCCACTATTTAGGTTTTCTAAAGACTGAAAGTTTAAAAATAATTTTAAAAGCAGAACCAGAGACGGTGTCATATCTTTTTCACCGAACACAAAAAGAGTATTATTATCACAGCCTACAATTTTGTTCAAAGCTGGCAGATGAGCCAAGCAATACTACAAAAGGACATGTGTGCTACAGTTTAAATATGTGCTCAAAAAGGGTTTCTAAAGCACAAGGCCGAAGATGGAATACTTTCAGCATAAACAGGGGTCATTAATAGCATATAGCGAACTGTCCCTAGGGAGAGTTATCATAAATTTTGAATTTAGATAAGTTAAAACATTTTTTCTCTTCACCATACTTCAGTGTCTTCAATTCCTAAGCAGATGCCGGTTTTGCTGTTATTTTTGTAACAAGTTTCTCTATGTCACATGTCACTCATATTCTTCTTGAGTAAGCATAAGGTTTAAACTATAAGCAAATGATAAATGTGTTTTTGATATTGTCAAGACAACAACAACAAAAAGATTCAAATAATTTTAGAAAAGAAATATTACAAATGTGAAATAAAGTTTTTTGTTTTTATTTTGTCTGACAATCTCTGATTTCCTTTCTTTTTTTAATTTTTTTAAATTTTTATTTCAGAGAGAGGGAGAGAGAGAGAGAAACATCAACGATGGGAGTCACTGACTGGCTGCCTCCTGCACGCCCCCTAACGGGGATCGAGTCTGCAACCCAGGCATGTGCCCTGACAGGGAATCGAACTGTGACTTCCCAGTTCATGAGCTCTGACTTCCTTTCTTAAATGAAGATTATGTATTTAAAGACTGCTAGGATATTTCAAAGTTGTTTCATTTGTAAAATTTTTTACTGAGAAGTGACAGGAAGAATTATTAAACCACAATTCTCATTTTCTCTTTTAATTAAAACTTCCATTTAACAAATTTTGCTTAAAAAAATTTTTTTTTAAATGTATTCGTTTCAGGCCTGGACAAGGAAAATAAAAGTTCTGTTCCTGATTGTTTATTCAAGATAACAAACATACTTAGAAAAGCATTTTTAAAAATAAAGTTCTCTCACATGAGCATCCAGGTTGCCTTCTAAGAGGTTCAATATATAATACGTTTATAGAAGTCTGCAAGTATCCTATAAATGCAACACCTCAACAGCACTCTTCAGAGAATGGTTAACTAATAAAGGAATATGATTGAGCATTTATGTTCTATTATTACTATTAGCTAATAATTATTAAACACTTACAAAATGCCAGGCTCTACTAAGCTCTTCAAAAGTAACACCTTAAATAATAATTACAACTGTTGCCCGGCTGGCTTGGCTCAGTTGTTGAGAATCAAGCTATGAACCAGGAGGTCACGGTTAGATTCTGGTCAGGGCACACACCCCAGTAGGGAGTGTGCAGAAGGGAGCCATCAATGACTCTTATCATTGATGTTTCTAACTCTCTCTCCCTCTCCCTTTCTCTCTCTGAAATCAATAAAAACATATTAAAAATAATAATCACTACAAGTGTTAACTGAGTATTGAAAAGGCTAAGAAACTTGCTTAAAGTCACACAGCTAATAAGTAGAGAAGCTGGGATTAGAACCCACATCTAAATTCAGAATCCACAGTCCTAATCACAGTCCATTACTCTGCCTCAAAACTAAAGAATCAGGAACTTAATCTCATTTCATAAAAATAAAAAAAAAATCACATGGACCTAAAAATGAGAAACAGTATGCATAACTGTGAACATCTGCACTTTTATTTTTACTTAATTTGGCTAAATTCAGACTTTTCATTCTCACTGCCCATCCTTGGTTCACAAGACCTGAAAAAGAAATTGGAGGTTGGGCAAAGAGGTGGAAAATAAACAAATTATAAAATAACAATTTCATTTTGATAACAGGAGAAAACTGAACAATCTAAAACACTAGAAAACTATATGTAATAAATATAAAATATTCATAGTAAATAAAACCAAAGAAAGATAAAAGAATATTGAATATATAAATATATAACTTCCAAGTAAAAGGGGATGCACATGAATTGGGAAGAAAGAGAAACCTAGCCCTGGCCAGTGTGGCTCAATGGTAAGAGAGTCTGCCTTTGGACCAAAGGATCGAAGGTTCGATTTCCGGTCAAGGGCAGGTACCTAGGTAGCAGGTTTGAGTCCCTTCCCAAGTAGGGGTGCAAGTGGGAGGCAACCAATCAATGTGTTTCTCTCACATCAATGTTTCTCTCTTTCTCTCCCTCTCTTCCTCCCTCCCTCCCTTCCACTTTCTCTAAAAATCAATGGAAAAAATATCCCCGGGTAAGGATTAACAGCAACAAAAAATAATGAGAGAGAAACCTATTTCAATAGTGGAGAGCTGAATCGCAACTCACACTCCAGGAAAAAATTAAAAGATTAAAAGAAAGTGACCTAAAAGGGAACACAGAAAACATATTAGTATGTTTTCTAGTTTGTAAAAATTAGTATACTACGACTAAAACATTATTCATAGACCATAGAAAGATATAAAGAACTATGCATTGGAAAACAAAATCTAATGTTACATAATTGATAGCAATATCATTAGGTAATATTTTACCTAATTAAATGTCCTTTGGAAAGAACTGGAAGTAATTTTCCATAATTTTAAACATACCTTAAGCATCTCCATTTCCAAATCTTCATCACTTTCAATTATACAAGATGTATCTTCTTCATTATCCTTGGAAGATAAATCCTTTTTTTAAAAAAAAAGGATTTCTAATATTAATTTCCAGTTTAATTAACTCCATACCTCTCTTCTACAAAATATTATCTTCTCTAATAGATACGTTTATAATATTTACTATATTGGTATGTTCAGGAAAGAGGGTGGTAGGGAGGAAGAATGAAGGAGGAGTAAACATAGAAACAAAGAAAGAAACAAAGAACCAAATCAAAAGAAAAAAAAAAAGAAATATAATTGGAAAGATAAAAAAAAAAGACTTGAAATAAAGCCCACACTCTAAATGAAAACACAAAGTGACAAGTTCAGCTATCATTAAACAATGTCAAACTGTGTTTCCCAAATTTTTTAAGTATAAGAACCTCTTTGCAAGGTTGAAAATTCTGTACAAAGCCAGGAACAATAGTTGTTCTTATCTATCCACTTATTTTTAAAAGATCCAAAAGCTACTATGATTATTAAAATACCTTTAAATAAATCAATATTTTATAAGTAACATCAACATATATTTGAAAAACAGTTCCAAATAATTTATTTAGCTATTGCTGATGTTTAGATAGGAGGAACCTTTACAAAAATTTGGCAATCCCCAGGAAGCAGGTGTGGACAGCATGGGAATCTGCACAAAAGAAACCCACATAAGAAAAATCGCCCCAAAATGTCTAATCTTTAAGTTGTAAATAGGAAAAGAAAGTATAGCCTTAATGAGCCTGAAAATATTAAGCTTTAAAAAAAAGATTTTCAAGTAAGTTTTATATAAGGAGAGAAAAACTCTTTAATATTTTAAATAGGGTCTTTCATGGATAAAGAAAAAAATGCTAATAATTACTACACAATTAAATATGGCAATCATTAGGGTAAATGGTGTCAGTCAGATCATGAAATCATAATCATAATTCTGTATCATTATATGAGACATCATTTTAAAGTACATATAATATGAAATTTCTTTAAAATTAAAGAGTAACATAGATGTTAGCAAAAAATATTTCCCAAAAAGGGAATCTGTTTTATAAACCGTTGGTATGACAATAATTTGAAAACAATTTTAAAATAAAATGCATGTATATTCTGATAGAAGTGATAACTAATAAAGTAACCAAAATATAGAGAATTCTTCAAAAACTGAGACTTTGATTGCCATTAGGAAACTAAGGGGGAGGTAACCATATTAAATGATTTTTAAATCTAATTTTTAAAAGCTTAAAACAATTAGTTATTGTAAAAGAAAATATATAAAATTATCCTGAATGTGGGAATCTTAGGTAATTGTTTCAACTAATGAAAAATGAATGAGATTAAACTATAGGGCTAAATGTCTCTTTTTATGATCTGTCTTTACAATAAAAAAAATATAATGATTCCTCTAATATGACTTCACTATTTCAAAAAAATAAGCTTAACTTAGCCAGTAGAAAACAAAATCCTGCAAATTAAACTAAACTAATCAGAACATAATAATTAGATATCTAAACATGAAGCTGAAAGAGAAGATAGAATGTTTAACAATAACCTATCAAGAAAAAAATATAGGTTACTAACTCTCCAGATTACAGTAAAGGTTAGTGATAAGCAAAAACATCAGCTTATTAGAACCCCTATCACAACAGCAAGTAAAGAAAATCTGTACAAAGAAATAAAACTACTCTCAAAACTCAAGTTTGGAAGAATAAACACTAGTAGATATGTAAGGAATCCAAAAAAAGCAGAGTTATCTACTAGGTAAAAGGCAGGAGAAATGCTAAAATAGCAAATTCCAATAAATGTGTGCTGACACTATAAAATCTCTCCACTATACAACTATAAGTCAGAAGTAGCAAAATACGGTTCACAAGCCAAATCCAGCTCACTTTTTGCTTTTGTAAATAAAGTTTTATCGAAGCACAGACAAGCTCATTTGTTTACATTTATCAATAGCTGCTTTCAAACTAAACTGGCAGAACTGAGTAGTTAAAACAGAGATGGTGTGATCTACAAAGTCTAAAATATGTACTATGTGTCTGTCCCTTTACATAAAAAATTCGCCAACCCCTATGGGTGAATGAAAATTTTCTCTTTACTTAGTACCTCAGGAGATTTGCAAGTAACATCACTAAGATATTTTTCCTGAGCCTGCTGTTCCAAAAGTTGGAGTTCATATTCTGTAATATCTAAAGACATCAAGCAAACTTCTTCTGTATTCTCTTTCAACTTATTGTCTTTGAGTCCATCTTCAAGTCCATCTTCTTGTTTTACTTCATTTCCAAACACATTTTCTCTATCATGTGTAATTAAATTATCAAGTGCTGTGTCCCATGTCTCATCTTGTTTCTGTTGTACTCCACCAGCAGCTGGATCTTCCAATGGTACTAAGCTAAAATTAGTGCTGGGCCTCAGTTCAGTCTCAGTAGAGCCAAATATCACCTTCCTCAGTGAATGCAGATTATCTGAAATATCCTTCAATAGCAGAGAAACCCTAAAAAAAATGTTAAAGGTTAATTCCACTTTAATTGCATTAACTATAAGGACAAGTTTTGATGCTTTTGAAAAAATAGAAGCTTTCTAAACTGATCTTCACTTCAAGGACACACTGTTCTATTGTGTTTTGTTCTGATTTTTCAATTACACATTGGATTAAAGTTGCTCTTCATTCCCTATTGCCCGCTATAGACTTATAGCCATAGCCAGTAGGCTATTCTCTAATACAGCAATGCACCTCTGCAATCAACATTTGACTTGCATGCTTATTAAGTGTAGCAATGTTTGGTCCCAAACTAATTGTTTATGCCAGTCATACTTTTTATGCTAATTAATTTAATTAAATGTAAATCACATCAATGATACATGCCCACTAAAACAAAAAAACCATTTCCTTAAATTCTAAGTTGAACATGTGGAAATACTTAGTAAATTTCCTTTTAAAAATAAGTTCTCTCTGATTAACTATAGTTCAAGTAACTATAAAAGTTTGGAGGACAAATCTGAGGGCTCTTCATTCAGATTGCTTCAAAGGCTTTCAGTTTTCACTCCATTTTAAAGAAATTGAAATTGGAAATTATAGATGATACACATGGGTATATTTTTAAACAAGAAACACTCTGCACAACTCCAAACATCAGGCCTATATTTAATGAAAAAGCCATGGTGTATAACAAAAGATTAGAAACACATAAACATTAATATGTTAAGTTAAAAGAAAATGTTTATGAGCCCATGTTTTACTTCATTTTTTTTCAATTTAGTGATCAAACTAGTCCCACTGCAACACATAAGAGGGTTTATATTATGCACAACCCAAGGACACGGACAATGGTGGGGAGAGGGACTGGGGAGGGGAAAGGGATGGGGTGGAATGGGTCATTGGGGAGAAAAAGGGACATCTGTAATATTTTAAACAAAAATAAAATTTTAAAAAATAAAATAAATAATAAAATAAAATAAAATAAAATAAAATAAAATAAAATAAAATAAAATAAAATAAAATAAAATAAAGAGTGTTTATATAATTCAAAAATGATATTTTGTATCTTCTAACATCTCAAAACTAGACACGAATTTTTTGGAAAAGAAAAATAAAATTCCCTTCAGTGGGCAAATATAAGATGTGAGAAAATATGAAGACGATGTATAGAATATATATGAACTGAATTTCTTAACTCCTTAAATATAGTTGCTAACGTAACATTTTAACTAAGTGACTTCAAATGGCTACAGTATAACCAAACCTGGCTAACTGAACAGGGAAACCACTGCTAGAATACAACATGAGGCATACTATCTTATATATTGGTTATAGGGCTTATTACAGCAATTTTTAGTTACTTAATAAAAGCAGAAATTAAAGGGATTATATGTTTCAAGTCTACGACTCTATAATGCATCATCTGTATGTTGCTCTGTGTATCTACCACTCAAAGTCAAGTCTCCTTCTGCCACCATGCTGGGAAAACCACATGCAAAAGAATGAAACTAAACTGCTATTTGTCACCATACACAAAAATTAACTCAAAATGAGTCAAAGACCTAAATATAAACAATAAAATCCATAGAAGAAAACATAAGCACTAAACTTATGGACTTTGGTCTTAGAGAAGGTTTTATGAATTTGACCACAAAAACAAGGGTAGCAAAAGCAAAAATAAATGAATGGGATTATAGCAAACTAAAAAGTTTCTGCACAGCAAAAGAAATTACCAGCAAAACAAAAAGGCAACCAACCAAATTGGAGAAGATATTTGCAAACAATACCTCAGATAAGGGGCTAACATCCAAAACATATAAAGAACTCAAAAGACTCAACAATAAAATAAAAAAATCATCCAATTTAAAATGGGTAAAGAACCTGAACAGACACTTCTCCCAAGAAGAGTTACAAATGGCCATCAGATATATGAAAAGATGATCAATGTCACCAGCTCTAAGGAAAATGCAAATCAAAACCACAGGAGACACCACCTCACACACGCTAGAATGGCTGTTATCAACAAGACAAGAGATAATGTGCTGGAGAAGTTGTAGAGTAAAAGGAACCCTCATACGCTGCTGGTAGGAATGTAAATTGGTACAGCCACTATGGAAAACTGTATAGAGGCTCCTCAAAAAACTAACAGAGGAACCATAATAGATAGCCTCTTCTGGGTATCTTCCCAAAAACTTTGAAAATATTTATTCGTGAAGATATATGGGCCCCTATACTCACTGCAGTGTTATTCACAGTGGCCAAGACATGGAAATGACCCAAATGTCCTTCCATGGATGACTGGATAAAAAAGATCCGGCATATATATACAATGGAATACTACTCAGCCATAAGAAAAGATGAACTACTGCCATTTGCAACAATATGGATAGATCTAGAGAACATCACACTAAGTAAAATAAGTCAGACTAACATGACTTTCAAAATTTTATATTTGATTCAAATCAAGATTTGTTCATTCCTGGGAATAAACTATCAAAAGTCTTGAGTTATTTCCACACTAAAAATAGCACCGTTATTAACAGCACTCCAAAGTTGGGCTCAAGCTTAAGTTGACAAAGTCTACATCAAATAATCAAAAGCAAAATTAAATTCAAACCTAAAAACTCACTAACTCTAACACTATAAAACTCTTCAAATCTTATAAAGAACATTTATCATTATACACAGGTATACAAACATAAGACCTGTACATAAATACGTTAATAGAAACAGATATGTGCCCCAGTCTGTTAAATGCATGGGAAATGATGTAACATATAAATGTAGCAACAGTGACACACAGATAGACAAGGCCTGTAAGGGCGCATTTATCCTACTCTAACATCAGAGAATAACACGTTTCAGGTAAGATAACTATTTACTCTTAATACATCAAAAGCAGCACTGCCTTCTTCAATAATGCACAGTGTATTTTTCCTTCCTTCTTAGGATTGTTATCATGTACATTAGTGGCCTGCAGACAACCTCAGCACCCAGCAGAATGTCAAGTACATGAAGGCAATACAACAGATAAGTACTGAATTTAAATCAGTGAATAAGCAGGATTGTACATTCCAATGCCTTCCCAGGTCCCCTGAAGCATAAAGCTGTTCCCTTCTGTAACAAACCTCAAACTGCTCTATTTTAAGAGTTCTTAAATCTTTATAGTTTTGTTCTCTCCTTCAGAAACAGTCAACTGTAACTTCTGTCTACTGTCACGTACATACCATTCCTTATCCATACCTGATTTTCATTTTAACTGGATATCCAAGCTTGTCAAACTGTATCTATAAACAAAAAGCAATTATGCTCTGACTGTGGCCTCATGCACTCCACTGGAAACACAGTAAAGTGAGCTTGAATTCATGTTTCTGGCATGGATTGTGGCTGTTCAAAGGCCTTTTTCGTTCCCTTCTGGTTCTGAGGTATAATCTAGATAAATTAGGCATTACTGTAGACTTGTTAACAAAGAACCTGAAATTAGAGATTTAACTAGTTCTTGTTTTGACACTAAAACTTTACAAGATCTATCTTTACTAAAAATGAATCTAATCTTTTCCATTCTCAAGTTTTAAGGAAACCTATTTATCTTTGGCATCACAAAGCAAAGCACTCATGGATATTTTAAATGCTAGAGCAAAAATCAGACATGTACGTAAACATCATATAAACGGTGACTTTTAGTCTTTCATGAAGGAAAAAATGAATAAGAAATGGCCTTATTGATGTCCTTCCCCATTTGAGAGGTACACCTTTCCACAATTCTCAAAGTTACATAAAAACGACTTCGACAAACTGCTCGGAGAAAAATGGTTTTGAAAAAGAGCTGAATTTCTAAATCATATTTTGAAATCTCTCAATCAAAATATATCACAAATCTCATCCAACAAAGAATACATTAACATTCATTTGTCAGAGTCAGAATTCTATTTTAACTAATTGCTTCATATTTCTACAAAGTATTTTTGCCTCAAAATTATATTGCCACATTGTAATCACTCACTGTTCCAGGGAAATCCTGCTTTTAGAGATTTAACAAAGCCATTCAGCAATTAGGATGAGGTTAAGGCCTGGTTCCAAAAAGAGTTAGCTATACAGCACCAGCCAGTAGTCCCATGTCTATTAATCCAGCTATCTCAAGTTGTCTAGTTCATTAGCTATAAATGATCTTTAAAATCTGAATGCCTCTTGCTCTGATAGCCTATGGATTAGGTAGAATTCTTATATAATAATGGGATAATAACCAGAAATATGAAGCTACTAGGTATATGAATTGCTTTTATTTTTAGATTTCAAGTGAGCAAACTATAAATACAAATGAAAGATGCCTAAAAACACAGAGAAAAAGACAACTTTGAATTTTAAATATTTTTCTTCACATGGACTTACTAATTTTATTTTGCTTTGTTTCATAAAGCACCCTACAAAGCAGACAGAAAAGCCTTAAATCTTTTGATGCATAATTTAACCACTGGAAAGATATTTCTCAAATTCATACATTGGTCTGTGTGGGTGTATCTGAGCAAGCTGATATGAGTCTACCTTAACAAACAGCAATTCCTCATATGCATTAAGAACAAACAGGATTGATTTTAAAAACTGATATTTAACCTCTGTGGATTTTCCAGTTTTCTAAAAGTGTCAGGGAGATGCCTAGCCAGATCCATCATCTCCTCAGAGATTGAAGTCAATTGTTTCTTCACATTAGTAGGTAGTATTTCTTCCTCTGGGAAAAAAAAAAAAAGAACATCAACTTGGAAACCACAAAGCAGGGATATTTATTTAGCCATTTATTTAAACAGTATTAGGGCTCACAGTTTCATTTTCTTTCTTTAAATGAGCTGCAACAACAACAAGAAATCCTTATCCTATCTCCAAATCACTTGTCACTTTACTTCCCTTTCAAATTTTTGCTATTTAAATTTTAGAATAAATTCAAAATGATCTGCATTCATACATATTACAACCCAGTGGTTATCAACCACAGCAGAAGGAGAAGGTAGAAATGAGAATCTGAACCCACGTGCATTGTTTTAAATTCAGAAATTAATATAATACCATGTGGGCTGCTTATTAAACATAGTTTGGTAAAACATAGTCTTACCCAACAGCCATTCGTTACTGCCCTCATTATCATAGGTCATCACCAAAATAAAATGCAAGCCTTCCTAATCACTGATCATCTTCCAAACTCTCAACTTCATTCTGTCTGGCTCGCCAATCTCCCTCTATACCACAAAGCCTGCTCTCAATCCCCAAACCCTTTCCCAGCTGAGAATCTCTTACTCTCTGTTACCACTTCTCTTGTCCTTCAGAAAGTCCAGCTCTTCAGAAGCAAACCATGTCAACTATTCCTGACTACTGCAGTAACCTTATGATCTAAAAATCACACCCTCTATTCACTGATGATTTTATCACCTGGTTCACTGTCTTTCCCTTCACTACTGCTCCTGTGATAATTCCTAGTGATTGGAGTATTCACAGAGAAGCTCCACCTAAAAGAGTGGCATTTTCAGTTCCATGATCCCTCCATTTCCAACAACCTTTCCCTCAACTGACCTCAGCCACCCATTCCCACAGTCATTCCCCTGACCTTGTAACTTCCAATGAAGTCACCACTTCTGAACTTTAATTGTAAGCGTTCCACCCTCTGAACCCCAGCATGCTCTCTTTCTTTCACACTTTCAGAACCAAACCCATTGACTCTACCTTTTCCTTGCCCACCCTCCTTCCTTCCCACTCCCACCCTTCGCCCTGTCTCTTGCTTACTCTTATTACAGCAATCACTCGCCTGTACAGACTCGGCTCTTTTGTCCCTCCCTCCCTCCATGGTGCTTACCTGGCTAAACCCCTACTCTAATTAAAACCAGCTTTTTTACCTACTTGATGCCTGGATCCAAGAGGCTGAATATAGTTGAAAATAAAAACACAATTATGATGACTCACCTCACTTGGTTTTAAATTATAACACAGATCTTGCACCCTCAGTAATGATTATTAATCATTCTGCATTTTCCACTTTCCCACTCTCAGGGTTTCTATTTCATACCTCTTTCTTCTCCCCAGCCTCCAGCATCAGCTTGTCCCTCCTTTTACTCAGGGAACAACCCACCTCTTATTTCACTAAGAAAACAGAAACAAGAAGATGAAGACTCTCTCATCTTCCCCCCCTCAACCTGCCTGCGTTAGTATCACTACTCCCATTACAGCCAAACCTCTTGAAAGAGTTGTCCATACCCACTGTCTGACATTTTCTCCTCGCATTTTCTCCTACACTGATTCCAAGTAAGATTTCACCAGGACTGTACAGCTGCTTTTGGAAAGGTGGCCAATGGCCTCCCACTATCAAACCTAATTGTTAATTATAGTTCCTCATCTCAAACTCTCCAAGGTATTTAAAACAGTTGGTAACTTCCTCCTGCTTAAACAGTTTTCTTCACTTAGCTTTCTGAACACCACTCCTCCTACACTTGCTCCATGATTACCAAGCCTCTGCAGGCCTCTCTGCTGCGCTCTCATCTTCCTGGCTACGCAGGTGCCCCTGATGCCAACACCTGGGCCTCTTCCGTGCTTCATCCCATTCACTCTCTATTCCATCTCACCCAGTGACACTATTTCACTACCATCTGTATGCTCACGATTCCCAGTTATATCTCCAACGCCCACCTTTCCCCTAACTACAGAACCCCATTTCCAACTAGGTATCTTCTTAGACATCAATAAGCACTAAAATTCAACATGTCCAAAACTTAAATCTACATGTTTCTCACCAAAACCTACTCCTTCCCGTAATCTTTCCACTAACTGATCCTTCCATTCACTTAGTTAATCCAACCAAAATATTTTCATTGTTTTCTCAGTCTCGACATCTCACCCCTTATGGCGAATTCATCAGCAAATCCTTCAAAATATATACGGAATCTCATCTCTATTGCTACCAGCCTAATCCAAAGAATTATTATCTTGCCTAGACTATGACAACAGCCTCCGAACCGAAGTCCCGGCCTAAATGCTTGCCCACTTATAGTAGCCAGAAAAAATCCTTTTAAGATAAAAATTTAATCATGTCATTCTCCTGCTCCAAACCCGGTAAGGGCTTTCCCATCACTTACTACTGTATTTATTTTAATTAATAAAATATGAAGTCAGATTCATAGCCTATAAGGCCCTAAATGATCTATCTGGCTCAAGCTACTTTTCTAGCCTCATTTCCTACTCCTCTCACCCTTACTCATTTCACTTCAGTTACACTCTGTTCCTCACACAGGGCGAGCAATCACCCTTAGAGGCTTTGCTCTTTCTTCCCCTGTGCCTGCTATGCCCCTCCCTCAGATATCCATGTGGTTCCCACTCTCTCACTTCAGTCAAATGAAGTGAAGGAGCTTGCTCTGTTTCGTTGGGTGAATTTCCCCAGCAACGGGAGCAGTGCCTGAACCATATAAACACCCAACAAATATGTTAAAGGAACAACTGAATACTCCCTTTCCAAGCCAAGCTTCTAAAAAAATAATTGTTTACACCTGCTTTCTCACATTCCTTAGATCTTAGTCCTCTATTCACGTTAATAAGATTTCCACACCCGTCATTCCACTACTGCACTCTCGCCAAGGCTATCGCACCTTCGTGTACCTGTGGACACTTTTCTGTTTTAATAGCACATGCCCTAAATGACCACTTTCTCATTGAAATGCTCTTCGGTGACCCAGTATGCCGTTGCTGCTGTAGTAAAAGATTACAAATAATTGCCATGTTGTCAAATCAAATGATTATTCTAAGCCCTCAGTTTCTCAAACTCTCAGCAGAATTTAAAACAGTTGATAACGTCCTCCCACTTAAAACATGTTCTCCACTGGACCTTCTACACCGCACATCTCCTCATTTCCTCCTAGGCCTATGACTCCTCTGGTGTCCCCTCCTCCATGCAAACGTTAAAAACTAACAGCTCCTCAAGCTTCTTACACCAATTCATTATCTCCAACTCTCAATTCTTTACTTTTAATGCACACTGTCTTCTGAGTTATAGACTGTACATCCAAGTGCCTACTGGCCACCTTCACTTTGCTATCCCACAGGCTTCCTTCCTTTAACATACCTAAAGCCAACTCAGACTCCTCATCCCCAAACCCTGCACCTCCTCTGCAACGTCCTTCATCCCTACTGCTCATGCCAACAACACAGAGGTGGTCCTCAACACACAGCTCTCATCCTCACACCAAATTCTGTCTACGGCTCCATTAAGTCTACTCTGAATCAATCCACTTCTTTCCATCCTCAACACAGCCATCCAAGCCAGGTCACCAGCACCTCTCACTGGGATAACGGGCAGAGCCACCTAACGGGTCTTCTTCCCACTGTGACCCCCTGCCCTCCTACAACCTATTTTCTGCTCTACAGCGCAGGTTGTTATTTAAGGTAATTCATCTTACTTCTGGATTTAAAACCCTTGATAGTGCTTGGGAGGAAATGTAAACTCCTTAACGTGGCTTAGCTGCTCCCCTTTCTCTGCTTCTCCCTCATTCCTCCCCTGTCATATTCGATAGTTCATCACAATGAACTACTTTCAATTGCTCAGAGATACCATGATTTCTCCTACCCCTGAAACTGTGCACTTGTTACCTCCTGTGCTTATGACACTTTTCCTCTATTTTGAGCTAGCTAACTCCTGCTCATATTTCCGGTCTTGCCTTAAACGTCACGTTCTCTAGAAAATATTCTCTAATACCTCCAAATATGCACTGGATGCCTCTCCTACGTGCGAACCATCGCACCTAATTTTCCCACAGCGAAAGACCCATCCACCCATACTGCAACTGCCGTATTTGTTCATCTATATATCACACAAAACTGGAGGTTTTCCTCTCAGGAAACAAAGTCATGCCTGTCTTGTTCACTACTGCATTCCCACATCAAAAGCGCTCAATGATTTTAATAAATAAGTAAATACATATTTAACTACTATATCATTTTGTGCTTATCAGCTACCATCTTGGATATAAGCTAATATTTAAGAGCCGTGAAGCAATGTGTAAATAGCCTTTTGTTTTCTGATATTCTGATCTACTTTTATCCTTTAATAAGAAAAAAGACATAATCTTATAATACAAACCAGAAGTGGTCATTTGAAAATATCATCTATATATGCATGGGGAAAATTCAAGAAAAGTAAGGTTAACACCTCTTACTTAATAACAGGAAGGGAGGGAAAGAGGAAAGCAGGGGGAAAGAAAAAAGGAATGGTAATCTTTGTTACAATTCACTGGTCAAGTTTATTCATTTCAGATGTCACAATATACTTACACATACAATGTAACAACAAATAAAAGTGAGGGTCAAAGAATGTAGTATTATAGTTAAAAAAAAAAAAAGTAGTATTGCAATGACAGGTACAGAGATACCAGGACTTCTAGTACTGACTTATCAATATGTTACTGTAGTTTTGAAAAACATCTTACACATTCCTCAGAAGCACTTTCATCAAAGACAAAATTGAAAGTATAACCTACAAGTAATTCTGCAAATCAGAACATCATGAATTTCCTCCGTTGAATTTAAGCCTATGATGAGTTAAGTAAGTTCTTATATCTTGTTCTCTAGATCAACTTCAAAACCACATCATTTGCCTTAGTTAATCAAGATAATTTCTCACCACGGCACCTTTGGCTACAGAGAATCAGCAGGCACTCATGGGAAGTGGTTTTCCATGGAAAGAAAGAGTATAAGAAATCTTCTACCTTAACATGTAAAGGAGGGTCTACCGTGGAGGGTACGGATCCCTTCTCATGGCAATTATAAAGGATATTATATAATCTCCTATGAGAAGATCATGCCACAGTTTTAAGTTTATTTAGCAAAATCAACTAATTTAATTAACATCTTAACAAACACGATTATTTAAAATCTCCAAAAGGAAGCGACAAGAATAGTAATAACAACTCTATACAGAACAATATAGGTGCTTGGAAAAGTATGTCCCTTTTAGTGCCCACAACTATTCTATGAAATAGATATTACGCTGTCACTCACACTAAACATGGGGAAACAGGTAATTTCAGGTCATGTGGCTGGGATTCCACCACTGGTCCATGGGACAAGCCCATGCTCTTCCACTCTACTACATGTCTGCTATCATCAACCTATCGAGATATTTGAGAAAGGCAGTGGAATTGAATGAAGTGGTCATTCTTTTTGGAGAAAAATAGTCGAGTTATCCTACCCTGGAGAAAAGTTAGAAATTTAAACCAGGGCACTGTAAAGTATCTTATACAATTTAAATATTTATAGCAAGGATGTATAATCTCCAAACTGGAAGACAGCTAGTTGTATCACTAATGTTATCAAAGTCCCAACTATAGAAGCCTAATAAGCAGCAATGCTACAAAGTAAAATCGATGAGTCCTGCTTTGCCGCCAGTAACATACCTAGAACCCTAAGCCTTGGCCAAATAGATGTTGACCTAATGTCAAAACTGCTCAAACACTCAAGAAGTTGTAATAATACTAAATGCTTTGCACAGGTGTGAATATTGTCTTTTTGGAGGTAAATCTCACACAAAAAAGTAAATTCAAATTTTATCTTTTATTTTTAGATCATAACATACCTTTATTTATGGAAAACAACTGCACAGCATCACCCAAAATTTCTAATTTTTGATAAATGATGAGGCCAGCCTATGGAAAAACAGAAAAATGAAAGTGCATACTAATGATCTCCAAAATTATGACCCATCTTTACAAAAATCCAAAACAATGATTCCCCAAGCACCCAAAAAGCTGAATTCAACCTATTATGTTACGTGAAGATTTAAATGTCTTCATTTATCCACCACACCAACTGTGAGAATGGAGAAAGTAAGCAGTCTATGCTTTAAAATGAAAGTTTAAGTTCTCATGTTTTAACATCTAGTATCTCAAGTAGGTATCCAATCAAATAACTTACAAATGGAATTTAACAAAATATAGTCAAGTAAGAGAAGTATGTTTTGACTATAGATATCCATTCCACATATCTCATTAAATTGGCCAAGAATGTTAATCAGTGTATAAACAGCCCCTCTTCTAGGTACTGTTGACAGGAACAATTAAGTCATATTGATTTTTCATAAATAAAAATGCTATAGAATTTGAGCTAGTTCTCAACAAGTTTTATGATTTTTTAACAGAACATGAAGGACAGTTATCAACCTATTTTCCAACAAAATTGAATTTTTTGTTTATAAATAAAAGGAGTTTCTATTCCTAAAAACAGATGCAAAAGAAAAGGGAAACAACAAGATATTCATCTACAAATGAAAGTATAAATTAGGGAAAAAGAAATTCACTGGGACATAAAATATACTTCTTGAAAAAAAACCTGATAGTGCTACATATATAGATAAGCCCAGATTTCACTATGTACGAGTATATAAATATGAAAATGCATCTGACTAACAGCAGTGAAAGCTAAATCTAGAGGCAATTTTTCTAAATTTTACCACATTTTAAATATAAATACAGGAAATAAGGCCAGCTTCAATAGAGAAACTGACTTGTAATTATTTTTATTCTGAAGATGCTTATAAATCAAGCACATCATCAATACCACTTGTGCATACTCAGTCTTGGCTTACTCGCCTTTCGTGTTTTCGGAGAACTCACACTTTTTACGTACAGATTGGACATTATTTTGGCTTCATGACAACAAAAATAACCAGCATGGAACAATCTGTTGATTGGTACTTGTTAATTAATATTGAGAATTAACAGCTTCACTAAACGCCTTCCTAAGCATTTTTAATGCCAAACTGATTTAATATATCTTAGCTGAGTATGTGACAGTACCACAACAAAATTTTTCTAAAGTATTTTAGGTTTAAAAAATACATCATAGTCTAAAGATCTTTGGTACATACATAAGCATCAGTAGCTGCATACAGTTTCTGGTCCTCAGTGAGAGGATAATTTTTCCAATTGCTACAACGGATAGACTTGTCTTTCAGAAGCTGTTTACCGAAGAGGTGTTTAACCAAACCATTGAGGCTCCAGGTCTCTAAACATTTTAGCTAGAAGTAATGAACAAACCAACACAGCAAAAATTACTCCCTTCTATTTTCATATATTCCTAAATACCACCAAATGACCATGCCACAAATAAAGTTGGAAATGTTATACCAAAATATAAGGCACATACAGTCCTTAATAAATTTCCTGCCATTAAAAACCTCATTTGCAGTCTACATTATAAGAATTTAATTCTGGAATTTCCTCAGTGTACTTATTAAAACTCTTGGACTGTAACAGTATTGTTCATGGAAAAAACATTAAATAGATTGGTAGGCTTTCAACTTCCCAGCCAAATGAGTACTTGGCTAAATATGAGAATTTAACCTAATGACCACATTAATAAAATATGTGAAATATGGGTGATGATGGAATTGATGGTTCAACTTGTAAGAGCATCATACCACAAGAGCTACAGTATCCCCTTCCTTTATAAAAAAAAAAAAAAAAAAAAGGAATTGGGCATTGATAGAAATTGATTAAAGAGATAAACTTAATTTAAATTTGAAAATATATGAAACAAAGTGAAGTAATAGTAATATGACGGAGGTACTTGCTTAAAAAAACTATTTGCTAACGCAATAGATTAGAACTGAAGGTTTTTGTTATGAAACACTCATTTGGACTTCTTTATTACAAAAACATACAGCTTAAATTACTTTTTTCAAAAAGTCTAACATTCAGATAGAAGGGACATTCTGTGAAACACAAATTTATCTTGTTTGTGAAAATAATATATGTACCTTTTCATTGGCAACATCTGTCAGTTCCACAATGCTCTTCAATTTGATGTCAAAGTCACGTAAAAGTTTCCACTGATCTCCTTCAATTCCAACACCTACCTTTTTAATTGCTTCATTTTCAAGCAACATTTTTAATCCCTGAGGAAAAACTATAACATTTTATTATTATTATTCTCTTAGGTTCTAGCAAGTGTGATGGATTTATTTTCTACTCTGACACATTATATGTTTATATTTAAATTTATGTTCATGTTAAGTTAAAATTCAGAAACACATTCACCTTGAGTATTTCTTTTCTTACCTACAGCAAAAAGCCCTGACTGATGACAAGAAAAACAACTAGTTTGAATGCTACCTCTGCTAATACTAACAGTATATTTCTGGTCATTCTGCCCCTCTAAACTTCAGTTCTTTACTCTGTAAAGCAGGAATAACATCACCATCTGAAAAGATGTGAAAATTAAATAAAACAGGGATATGAGTGAATCAGGTGGAACATAAATACTTAAACAAATGTATAAGGTAATGAAAGAAGTGCCAGCTAATTCAAAAGCTTAACTTTATGGGGATAAAGTTGACATAATATAATTATCTACCACATAAAAATGAAACAAAGAGAAGAGATTACCAACCTGACATAGAGGAAACATGAAACAAGTAACATTTGCTCTCTGACACACACAGCTGAATTAGTGCAACTCTGCTCAGTTTCCCTTTACTGTATATTGGTGGCCATTCCATGTCGAATCCTATCGCATCTCCATCAGACAAACTCATGCTATAGGGGGAAATAGTGTAAATTAATTACATTAAAATGTCAACTTCTGCATAACTAAAGACATCCTTCAAAAAGTTAAAAGACAAGCCACAGTTGGTAGAAGATATCGGTAATATACATAACTGCTAATGACTAGCCAGGAAATATACACAATTCCTCGAAAAGTCAATTTTAAAAAAGACAAGTAATCCAGTAAAAAAAAAAAGGAGAAAAACATGAACAGGTAATTCCCAAAAGGAAATGCAAATAAATATGTGAAGACATGAAATATCACTAGAAATCAGAGAAACGCAAATTAAATCTATACAATATCACATCTATCTGATTAGCGAAAATTAAAGACACACAGCATCAAGTGCTAAGAAGGATATCTATTAGTGGGACCGCTCATATACTGGTGAATGTTTAAACTGATAAAATCCTCTTGGCAAAAGCTTTCACAATCTCTAGCTAAAGATGTATAAACACTATAATCTGGCAAGTTTTTCTCATAAATATATTAAACTCTCATATGTGCACAACCAGACAGAAATGTCTAAAGCTGTTCATTACAATACTGTTACTACTGACAAAAATAGAAAAAAACTGCATTTCCATCAACAAAAGAATGGACAAATTGTGGCATAATGAAACAATATTATATAAAGGTTAAAATAGAACTATATATACCAAAAATTCTGAAAAACATAAAATGTTGAGTGAAAAAGACAAGTGGCAAAGTATGCACATAAAGTGAGAGCATTCTGCCCTGGCCAGTGTGGCTCAGTTGGTCAAGCGTCCTCCCGTGCACAGAAAGGTCGCTGGTTCGATTCCCAAGCAGGGCATATACCCAGGTTGCAGGTTCGATCCTGCTCGGGGTGCATGCAGGAGGCAACCAATCAATGTCTCTCTTTCACATCAATGTTTCTCTCTCCCTCTGCCTTCCTCTCACTAAAAAAAATCAATAAAAACATATTTATTAAAGTGAGAGCATTTTTTTAAAGTTTTGAAATAGGCAAAATAATAGTATGTGGTATTTTGAAATATAAAATTATGAATATTATAGAAAACATGTGAGGGAATACAAACACTGACCTCATGATAGAAGTTATCTCAGTAGGCTGGGGAGGAGAGAATCAGAAAGGGCATACATGGGGCTTTAGCTGCATTTTATTATTTCATTTCTTAATAAAGATTTGAAGAAAATGAGTATTAAGTTTGATAAAGCTAGGTGGGATATACAGGGTGTCCCAAAAAAATGAATACGTACTTTAACAGCTGATAGCTCAATTTTGAAAATGAAATGTATTTTAATAAACACTGCCTTTATAATTATCCAAAGTGTGTGTATACATTTTTGGGGGACTCCCTATATATGTGTTTGTATTACTATCTATTACTGTTTATATTTGCCTATTTCACAATTTTTTTAAATTAAAAATATATTTTAAAGAGCCTTAAACTGACTTAGTGCAGAGTCTTAATTTAACAAGACAATTTTTAAAAATAGTAACAAACAGTCATTTCAAATGTTATTTTAAGGATCATTTGCTATAATTGTGAACTAAATGAAACAGAGCCCATCACAACCATTTTAATGAATATAAAGTGGTACTTAAGAGTGTGAATAATTCCTGTTTTTTTCCCTAAATTGGTGAAATAAACATAATGTATTCAGTAGTTCTGTATATAACATCTCACGTGTTGACAGTAAAAATATCAGCTAAAGTAATATAAAAGCTTATGAATGAACAGGCAAACAAGTAATTTAATTCAGTGATTTTAAGTTTTGATTTTAAAAAGAATTAAAACTTATCAATGATATTCTACATATATGAATAATTACCCATTGAACACACCTCCACTGCAAAAGTCAGTATACTTCAAATATTACCACATTAGTAATCTTCAGAGGGTCCAAATTCCAATGAAACTAGGAAATTCAAATCTCTTACCTAATATCTTCTGATAGGAAAGAACAATCACTAGGTTCATAACTGTACACAATGGATCCAGTGAATTCCAGGAAGGGGAGGTCATCTTCCAAAACACTCTTCTGAATAGATGCCTTGAGTTAAATAAAATTCCGAAAAGGTACAAATAAAGTTCATATAAAATAATAAATGTTCATTGAAATAATAAAGCTCCCTGAAGCATTCAAATTATAGTTCTAAGCTTTATTAACTAATGCTTTATAGACTGATGAAGTCATAAGGACAATGTAACAAAGATAAAGCCATCCACTGTAAAGTTATTTTTCTAACAAGTTTATCTGCAAACTTCTAATGCTATTCTCATAAAAACATTTATTTTATTGATCGTTTCTGTAATTATATTAGTATTCTAGCTGTAATAATGTTGCCATAAAAATGCTGAAGACTGGTTGGTGGATCTTGTATCTATGAGGACCTAAACTTGCTCAATCATAGAAAATTCAGCAAAGTAAATACTGTCTAAATTACTGCAACAAACCAGTAAGGTCAACCATGCAAAGTAGATAAAAAAGGAAAATACAGAGTAGGAATTCTGATTTTGTAAAGCCAATCAAAATGTAATTCCACCTGACCAGTGTGGCACAGTGGCTGAGCACTGACCCAGGAACCAAGAGGTCACCCACCAGTTTGGGGTTCAGGCTCCATCCCCAGTAGGGGGAGTATAGGAAGGAACCGATCTATGATGTTTCTCACCAATGTTTCTATTTTTCTATCCCTCTCCCTTCCTCTCTCTCTAAAAATCAATAAAAACATATTTTCTTTAAAAAATATAATCCCATTTACCCATTCAATAACTAAATTCTGGTTCATTCACACAATAGCTACTATAAATTAATGACCTGAAGTTTAAAAGGATCAACTCACTTTACAGGCAAATTTACATAAAAGGAATAACTGGTGAACTGCATACCTTACTTTCTTCTACAGTACATCTTTTATTCTGCGTAGACATCCATTCAGGAAGTTTCCGCTGCTGTAGAGTTTTCAATTGTTTTTTATTCATTTTTAAAAGGCTCTGTTGCAAAATCTAAAAAACAATTACTTTGTAAATAAACAAAGCACAACCTTTGAAGAAAACTCAGAGAAAGGCCTGTGGATATTATTAAAGAACCAAACATACACATGTAGTCAGTTACAGCATGTAGGCCCAAATATAGGATATAAGAGCTAGAATCGCAAAAGAAAAAGAAAGATACAATATGCCAGATCTAATAACTATATGTTTAGCTAGTTTCTTTTTTCTTTTTAAAATATATTTTTATGGATTTCAGAAAGAGAGGAAGGGAGAGAGATAGAAACATCAACCATGAGAGTCCCTGATCAGCTGCCTCCTGCACACCCCCGACTGGGGAACAAGCCCACAACTCGGGCATGTGCCCTGACCGGGAATCGAACCCAGATCTCCTGGATCCTAGATCGATGCTCAGCCACTGAGCCACGCCCAGCTGGGCAAGGACTTTTATATTTTAAAGATCCTAAATGTACACTCTGTTCTCCTTGGGATCAGTGAGTCCTCAGGAAGGACTCCTTGCCAAGTCTTTTCTTAAGGTCAGAAAAATTTCCCCTTATTATGGGTTGAACTATATCCTTCCCCCCAAAAAAGGTAGGTTGGAGTTCTAATCCTCAGTACCTCAGAATGTGATTCAGAATGTGATATAATCTGGAGATAGAGCCTTCACTAGAAGTAATCAAATTTAAATGAAGTCATTAGGGTGGTTCCTAATCCAAAATGAGTGATATCCTTACAGAAAGGTGAAATTTGGACACAGAGAGACATGCATAGAGGGGAGATGATATGAAAAAATACATGAGAAGCCAGTCATCTACAAGCCATGGAGAGAGGGCCTGAAACAGGTCCTTCCCTCACAGCACTCAGAAAGAACCAACTCTGCCAACAACTCCAAAAGCTGTGAGACAAGGAATTTGTCAAGTCACCCAGTTGGTGGTAATTACAGCAGCTATATAGTAAACTAATATACCTCTACTTACTAAGTTATCAATTGCCATGTCTATTTTTTTATTTCCTTCTACAGCATTTCCTCACATGCTAGTGAATTTCTTCCTGCATGAATTTCTTCTCCTAGTCTCTATTTTTTTTTTCTTCCTGACTACCACCTCTTTAATTTTATTCTGTATTTTAAGATACTTCTTCCACTTAATTTGCAAGATGTTAATTTCACTCTCAACAGTGATATTCCTCTTTCAGTTTGTCAACAGAATTTTTATAAAGTTGAGATCTTTATTTAGTTCTAGGAAGCTTCTTTGTCCTCTAGGTGAGTCTCCCTAAATGTGCTTACTATTCCTTTCTTTTGCAAAAATCATGATCTAAATATTTCAAAGATCTGTTTCAATAGGAGTTTCCCGTTCTGTCCCTTCTGTTGTTGTTTCCAATGATGCTGGAGTCGTCAGGTGGACTATTATTTTACTTGGCCCGTATAACTCTATTTACCATCAGCAGTCACCAGCTTTTAGGGTACCTTGGGAAGCTGCAAACAAGCGACCAAGAGACTGTATGTTTTCTACTGAAGCATCAGGAGGCTATTTCTCTATTCACAGGTCTCCAAAGATGTAATCTTGAGGTCTAGCCCACCAACACATTGAGCCCATCAGTACAACTCCTCTGGAAGTCCTCTGACAGGAAAGATCAAGTAAGCTTCCTAGGACCAGTCAGTTGCTCAGTTCATTCAACAAACAGCTATTTAATTTTCAGCCATATTTGTTCTATCACACTAACTCCATTGAGTATTTTATTATGTTTCAGTTCCTTTCTTACCGTCCAATTTTCCTTTTCCACCATTTTCAGTACTTTTATAAACACATGTTCCATTGAATCCATTGATAAAACTTATAGGGACTTTAAATTCTTTTTTTTGTTTATTAATTATTTATCAAGGGTCAACTATTCAGCTTAGTGAGCCTGATATCTGTTGATTTTCTTCAAATACATGACTCTCAATTGTTCACTTAATTTACAAATGAAGGGCTATACCAGGAGTTGGCAACATTTTCAAGTTCATGGCACATTCAGAAAATGAATATATTTTTATGGCACATTGGAGAGGGTAACTGGGAATGTGAACATAAAATTTTGTAAAACTTACATCTTCTTTATAAAATTAAAATTTTCAAACTCTTTAAATAAAAATCTTGAAATTGTTTAGGTGAACACAACTTTTGTGTATTAGATTTTATACTTAAAAAGGCTAAACACAACTCCTGATTAAGACCTTTTAACATTTTCTTAATATCCCATATAGCAACCACTGCAAAGAAGCTTTATTAGCACCCATGGTAGCAAATGGCAAAAGAGGGGAAGGCTTTGCTCCAATACACTGAAAACACCTTTTTCATGATTAACTAGCATTCCAACAATTCAATCTCTTTAAATTGTATTTCAAGAGTACTAATATCTTTAAATCTAATAGCTTCTCTAGTTCTTCTGAGAAATATGTAAATTCTTTCTGATAATGTAAGTAAGCTTTGAATACAAATGATTTTTTTATATCAAGTATTTCAATATAATGATAAAGTTTTGTCTCAGGCACACACTGACTTTAATTAATTCTTCTTTAGGATTCCAAGAACACCAATTAAGCATCACTTCTAAAACTATATTAACTTTCTCAAAGCTGAATTTTTGCTCTGAACCCATAAACTTTGTCAGTACACGTTCATTTATTTCCACATGATCATCGCACTTTTAAGTTAATTCAAGTGCTCAAAATGTCAGTTAAGGATATCATTTTTTGAAGCCAATAACTATACTTCAACAAATCTGCAAAGTAAGAATCATTCCCATAGAATAATTTGAATTTTTCCTTTTAGTTTATAAATCTTCCTTTGAACTGTCACACACGTTAGCAATGAAATAGCTAATCCCATTTAGTCACCTAATGCTGAAAAATAAGGCACTGTGGCAGCTTGGATTTCATTAGGTTCGCCATTTTTATGACATCATTGAAGGAGGAATTCAGAATTATGGGCAAATTTTTAATATTACGAGAGCTTCTCTGTGGATAAGACAACATATCCTTTTTTTTTTATATTGAACTTAACGTAAAGCCTTTATACCCTCCTGTTACTGCCAATTCTAAACTTCCACTGTTCCATAATATCTTGTATATTTCAAAATATTCATTTTTTTCACTTTGAATACTTCATCCTCAGTTGATTTTGGAACTTCTCTGCCAAGCAAATAATGTCCTTCCAGGTGTTTTTCTTCAGCCTTCTAACTGAGGGCCAATGCCAACATTTATAGATTCATATCTGCAACGAACACCTTTTTCATTAAATAATCTTTTGGATTAATATTGCCTTTATGTCTTTGACAAATCTTCAACATATCTTCTAATAGAACAATTTAAAATGTCAACTTTTCCATTTCCTTTTCCTTACTGCTGCCAAACAAAATATACCATACAGGCAGGAACAAAGAGCGGTGAGGAATCTGGGCTTTCCTAATTGTGCAGTCCCATAACTAGCTTCTTGAGCTCAATCTGGTTATCACTTTTATCAGTCTCTTAAACGAATTTTGTTCTTATTTTGTACTAAAGATGATTTCAAAAGTTAAAATCTTTTATTTCATAAAATAGGGGTTTTATGAAAAGGTACCAGAGTGTTTTGTTTGACACTCCTACTTCATTTAATTTAAGCTGAAAGGTAAAGAATTATGGGAACACCAGATCCAATTCTGAGATAATCCTTTATTGACTATTCATTTATTAAATATTTACTATTATGTTGAGCTTATGAATCAAATGGCTTTTTGGCTTTAATCAATATATTAGACATTATAGTGAAAAAGGAAATACCTGTAGAAATTAAATATATTTGAATATAAAGTACTTTAAAATACTGTAGGTCTTTAATTCCTTGGGAAAAGCTTTTTGTCAATTTTTAGTTTGTCTGAATTCTTATGAGTATCTTTTTAACAAAGGAGACTAATCAAAAACTGAGTGTACTTAAATATTTATTTTCATTTAGTTTAATACTAAATTTTTTTAGGTAAACATAATATATTTCTGGGTAATTAAAAATATTTCATATGAATTTTGGCAGTTAAAAAGACCTATATTTTCTTTATTGAATCAACTGAATTATATGTTCTATTATTATTTATAGATAGAAGCACTAATTCTTTAAATTCTAAAATCAAACATAAAATGAATTCTATCAAAATCAGGTTTGACAAACTGTCACATCAAAAGCCCATCATAAAAAAATTAAAAATTAAATAACAAGCAAAAAAAACCTAACAAAATTGTTTTCCATTAAAGAACACTAAGTCTACAATAATCAGCTAACAATCATGCTCTTTTCTATATTAAGAGTAAAATTATAAAAATTAAGAAAAATAGCCCGGCCAGGCGTGGCTCAGCAGTTGAGCGTCGACCTAGGATCCAGGCGATCGGAGTTCGATTCCTGGTCAGGGCACATGCCCACGTTGTGGGCTCGATCAATGGCTCTCTCATCATTGATGTTTCTATCTCTCTCTCCCTCTCCTTTCCTCTCTCTGAAATCAATAAAGCTATATTAAAAAAAAAAAAAATTAAGACAAATAAAATTAAGAGAATTTTATGTACACAAACACATAACTTTCCTGATGACTAAATAATATATACATACATAATTAAAGTAATAATTAGATAGGAAATTATTTAAAAGCTAAGTCAGGAGAAGTACTACATGATACAGCCACAACACAACTCTTTTTTACCATGTTTACTATGCACAGCCATATATTTTACTGAACTGAAGTAGTTTATAAAGGATCTACATAAAAAATGTTCAAATATAATTTCACCTATTCTAAATCTTTGAATGTTTGTCTTACAAAATGCTTGTATATGTCCAAAAGTTATAAAAAAATATGCAACCATCAAAATCTTGCTAAATTACCTACAACCGATATCACTATGCTACAGCACAAATTGGAAGCCACTAACTTTGCTCCAGCTAACTCTTGCAAAAATCAGAATGGGCCCAGTGTTGCTAGACCTTCCAATTTTTCAACAAAAGACAACTGGATGTTACGATGCTATCTTCCATTTGATATCAATTTCCGAGACCCACCTCTCAATTTATAACCTCTGTTGTGGACAGATCAATACTAATAGCTGGTATGGGTATCCCTAAAAAAAGTTTAAGTCAATACCCTTCACAAATCATTCTTTGAGTGAAGTACTTAGGTACATTTTTGTAGGTACACTACAGAATGAGTGGATCTTAAGTATGGAGCACATCTCTCCCCACCTCCCCCTTACTTCTGAGCCTACTGTGTCAAC